TGTGTTTCTATACGATAAAAAGTATATACGTAAAACAACATTAATGAATTGTTAAACCTGACCTCAGTGAGGGGAGGCTGAGGTGGGTATTAATCATAAAAGAGAGCTGAGATTTTTCCAGTCACATTTCAAATTATACATATGGATGGAATGTTGAAATTTTCGCACTATCTACTTAAACATGATTTAACAGTACAGACGTAGGTGCTTTTATAACAATCCACGGATTTCTGCGTTAAAAAAAAAAATTAATTGATTTATGGCCCTCTTTAAGAGTTTTAATGGATCCAACGCCCCCAGGCCAAGTTATCAATCAAACAGCAAATAACACCGCTCATTAGCGCTGAGTAGTAGGTACTTCCTAAAAAACAATAGTTTTCTTCCTAAAAACAATAGGTTATATCAATGTTAATTCTGTTTGCGGATTAGATGTCATCCAAGTGGAAATACTACCGGATGTCCATTATGTAATTTCTAGTTTGGGATGACATATTGTTCTCAGTAACCGTAATGTGAAAATCGATAGCTGAGTCTACTCTCATTTTTTTGCATTTATAATTAACTGTAACGTTAATTTCAAGATTTACAGTACATACTATTCAAAAGTAGTTAAAAATCACCCGATTCTTTCATATGACTATGCATATGGTTAGTCATTAGAGAAAGTGATAGAGCGAGAAAGCGATAAAGTATTAAAGCGATAAAGTGATAAAGCGAGAAAGCAAGAAAGCGAGAAAGTGATAGAGTGATATTTCCCATAATGCCGTACATTAAAATGTTTTTTTGTCTGATATTTAGTGATCCATTCCCGTAATTCTCGCCGCTATTTTGCCTTTTATAGTTACATTTTTTAACATTTGGTGGTAGATAAATGTTACAAATACATACATATTTTTATCTCGTTTAGTTTGTTTCTACACACGTGTTTATTTTCTTGTAGTGTAGTAAATAAGCAAGATTCACAGACTTTAACAGAATAGTCACTGTTCATATTTTCATTTTGTTCATAATCACACACACACACACACACACACACACACACACACACACACACACACACACACACACACACACACACACACACACACACACACACACACACACACACACACACACACACACGAACACACACACACACACACACACGAACACACACACATATACATAATTTTGACAAAACTTTACTTAAGATACACATAAAATATAACAATGACAGTTGATTTAACATATGTTATAGATAATCATAGTAATGCACTTCATATTGTTATCAACGTTAACTTTGTGGCCACACTAATTAGTATGTCTCTCCACATGTGTGATTTACACAAGTTCACATATCAACTGTGATAACGCCACAGCGATGGGGGCAGTGGGGAGCCTAGTGGTTAAAGCGTTTGCTCGTCAAGCCGAAGACTGAGTTCGATTCGCAACATGGGTACACTGTGTGAAGCCCATTTCTGGTGTTCCCTCCGTGATATTACTGGATTATTGTTAAAAGCGACGTGAAACCATTCTCAGTCACTCACAGCGATTATTATCAAATTACTATATGCAAGTACATACACATATTTTCACAAGACAAGAGACACAATTCAAGTTAAACATACATCAAATGTCAAAAAGAATATTTACGGACAACAGTATGACACACTGTAACATCATATGCTACCGAAAACAAGTAAAAGAACACCCACAATTATAAAATTGTATTTTTGTAAAACAATCAGCCATGACTAATAAACCATAGTCTTCTTAACTTCTTTTGAAAAGTATATATTTAGATTTTAACCGGATTTATTTGGAGCGTATTGCCATGATCTGCCAGGCGCTTTCGGCGTGATGGTCACATACAACTGAATAGGACCGCAAATCAATCAAGTACATTTTACGCAAAACTCGATTGTTTTAAAAGCACATACGTCTGAACAGTTAAATTATGTTTTAAGTAAATAGTGAGAAAAGTTCAACATTCCCTCCCAATTGCAGCAGATATCACATGCGCCCCCTCTAATGGTCAAGAGGGGATATCGCTTAACCGCAAGAAAGCGATAAAGCTATAAAGCGAGAGAGCGAGAAAGCGATAGGGCGATAAAGCGATTAAGCGAGAAAGCGATAAAGCGAGAAAGTGATAAAGCGAAAGAGTGAGAAATCGAGAAAGCAATAGAGTGATAAAGCGATAGGGCGAGAAAGCAATAGAGTGATAAAGCGATAGAGCGAGAAAGCGATAGGGCGAGAAACGCGATGTCCCCTCTCAGCCACCATACGGTCGTGGCTGCTGTACCATTTTTGCGAACACCTGGTGTCATCACTAATGTTCAGTAATCTTTATATTGATATTTGTTTGACTGTTTTGTCTTTTACGCCCTATGGAATCTGTTTCTGGAGATACTCAATACAGGTTATTCTCTGGCTTTGCCGTTTTGAATTTCACTCACTGTGGTAAACGCCTTAGCCCAGTATCACCTTCCACCACATCAAATTGACATGCCGTCATGTAACTCCAATATTGGTGTTAGCATCCTGAAACTCACTCACTCACTGGTGTCAGTTACATCATTGTTTCTCTTTCAGATTCAACATGTGTTAAACAATGCTTCAACATGCAAGGTGTCCTTTGCCCTCCGTATGTTTAATCACTGCGTGTCAAGCGGGGTGGTCGGGTAGCCTAGTGGTTAAAGCTTTCGCTCGTCTCGCCGAAGACCCGGGCTCGATTCCCGACATGGGTACAATGTGTGAAGTCCATTTCTGGCGTCCCCCGCCATAATATTGCTGGAATATTGCTAGAAGCGAAAAACCATACTCACTCACTCACTTATCAAGCGGGAATGCAGCTTTTGTGCATGTTGTGTTTTGGCAGTTCACGTTCTGTAATCATGTTTTCTGTTGCAAATATATCGCCAAATGAGTTAGATACAGTGGTGTTATTTGTTTACTTTAAGGTAGCAGCCATCTGATCCTCGGTGTGTGTTGGAGATTGGGATAGGGATGGGAAGGGTCGGGGGGTTGGTTTGGGTGTTTTGTTTTTATTTAGGAGCTGTATTAACTATAAAATAAATACAAATAACGAACGTATCAAAGGTTGCTCTTTGAGCATACCCGACAAACCTACAAGGTTCTCAAATTTATCAATATTAAGTATGGCCTCATATTTACAATGAAAGGTTATAGTCAAGGTTTGGAAATATGTAATCACCCTATTGGAGTATGTAATACACCATGTCTGATTCTTGTTCTTGCAAAGTTAATCACAAATATAAATGCGCAATTGCACTGAAACTTTTCATTAGGATGCTGATTTGTTTCTACTTGTGTTCGAATCCGTTCTGAATAGGAAAGGGGCACAAGCTTCACAAGTAGCTGGACGTCGTCGCACTTTCTTCTCTGAACTAGATACCAGTGTTATTGGTGACACCAAATGGCGAGTGAGGGAAGTCAGACAACTAAACGAATGTCTCCAACTGGGCGAACGAAATAACCAATGAAACAACTCGATGGCTGCACATCTCATCTGGCGACTCAATCAGCCAACCTCGCCCCTTTCCGTAACCGCTAAAAAGACTCGGCTGTCCCCGGTACGGTAAACAGGCCTACGCCTAAACACGCTCGCGGATGCTCTTTATTGAACGTTGAGTGTTCGTCTGTGTTTAGTCTTCTATTGTCTTATATATACGAAGTTACTTATTTCAGAGTTTTTATTCTAAATCAAAAGCCATTTTATTTATTCATTTATTTATTATTTACCCCACTCCGCACCCCCTACCACCTTCCCCCATAAAGAATGACTAATCCCCAAACAACACAGGATACGTGATCTAGAGTGATCATGGCTGGCATTAAACTACGAACTACACACGGTCATCAAATAGTGCGTCAATCCTGTATCAAGTTGTTTCAACTAATGTTATGCTCGAGCTATGTAAACAATATAGAGATTTAGAATGGTGTATCTATCTAAACATAACATGAACATGGATTCATTGGATTATCTGTATATTATAGCTCACTACAGGTCGATCTCAGAAATCTGCTACAGACTCTCAATCTCCCACGATAGTGGAACACAACATACCGAGGGCTAGGCTTGTCAACGACGCCTTGAAGGTGTATACTATATGGTGCAACTATATTATAGCAAACGTTCGTTATACAAGTCCCTCCCACTATAACATACGTACGTTATACAGGTCTCTCCCACTATAACAAAAGTACGTTATACAAGTCTCTCCCACTATAACACGCGTACGTCATGTAAGACTCTCTCCCTATATAACATACGTACGTCATGCAAGTCTCATCCACTATAACACACGTACGTTATGCAAGTCCCTCCCACTATAACACAGGTACGTTATGCAAGTCTCACCCACTAAAACACACGTACGTTATGCAAGTCTCACCCACATTGACACGTACGTTATGTAAGTCTCCCCCCACTATAACACACGTACGTTATGCAAGTCTCTCCCACTATAACACACGTACGTTATGCAAGTCTCTCCCACTATAACACACGAACGTCATGTTAGTCTCTCCCACTATAACACACGTACGTTATGCAAGTCTCTCCCACTATAACACACGTACGTTATGCAAGTCCCTCCAACTATAACACACGTACGTTATGCAAGTCTCTCCCACTATAACACACGTACGTTATGCAAGTCCCTCCCACTATAACACACGTACGTTATGCAAGTCTCTCCCACTATAACACAGGTACGTCATGCAAGTCTCCCCCCACTATAACACACGTACGTTATGTAAGTCTCCCCCCCACTATAGCACACGTACGTTATGCAAGTCTCTCCCACTATAACACACGTACGTTATGCAAGTCTCTCCCACTATAACACACGTACGTTATGTAAGTCTCCCCCCACTATAGCACACGTACGTTATGCAAGTCTCTCCCACTATAACACACGTTTAGACGTGTTTGAAGTGAAATACATTACCCATTAATCAACTGCTCGAGTCCAGCAGTAAATCACATTCTCAAACAGGAACAGCGCATGTTTGAATTACTTGACAAACATGGGACACACTGTGCAGCGTATTGTCGTCATTCTTCTCACGAACGCCCTCTACAGTACAGAATTAGGTACGTCATTTAAGATAGCTTCATCAAGAGAATCCTTGCAATATTTCTCTTCTGTTTGTGAGTGAATGGGGGTGTAGAGTTTTACGCCGCTTTCAACAAAGCAGCAATGATAGGGCGACATGGGCAGTTGGCTTCACAACAGCCTGTCACGTGATATATCACGAGTTAACAAAACTGGAGCGCTCCCACGTGAAACACAACCACAATCACGAATTCCCAAACATGGAACTAGAAGATTCCCCCGCAGCGTTAATGGTTTTCTGAGTATATAGAGATGATTATTAGTATACAGGCATGTGTGTCACACTGCTTTTATGATATGAAGAATGCTTATATTTCCCGTGTGAGAGCGACCCGTGAAGATTCCGGGGTAGAATAGGTCTTCAGCAACCCATGCTTGCCGTAAAAGGCGACTATGCTTGTCGTAAAAGGCGACTAACGGCATCCTGTGGTCAGGCTCGCTGACTTGGTTGATGCATGTCATCGATCCCAATTGCGTGGATCGAGGCTCATGATATTAATCACTGGATTGTCTGGTCCAGACTCGATTATTTACAGACCGCCGTCATATAGCTGGAATATTGCTGAGTGCGTCGTTAAACAACAAAACAACCAACCAACCAACCGTGTGAGAGCGTGGTCAGGCATGAATTCTCACACGAGTTTCGTAAAATTAGTAGGAGACACATTCGAGTGCGAGCACTTCTTTTTAACTCATTATTTCTTTATCCGTCTGAGCTCCCGTTTAGAATAATGCACTGATCACGACAGACTACAACTGTCGAATGATGTCAACAATAACATTCCAGTGGCGTCAACAATGTCGTCCGGATGACGTAAACAATACGCTGGTGCGCGTGAAGCGTTATTTGCAGTATTTCAAACCCTTGGGTGACAAATGGCAATATCATATTGGAGCCGTCCTTTGTATTGAAGTTGGTAATTTATTAATGTGCTGGTGTATACCTTATGCACATCTTGGTAACACGTACTCTCTCTTCTCAATGTCGTCTTGGCATGATTATATACAGTAAACTACGATTATAACGAACTCAAAGGGACCGCTAATTTGGGTTCGTCATAATCGTAGTTCGTTATAAACACATATATACAGCATATATACAGCAAATGACTAGGGCAAAAAAAACCAGTCCGTTATTTCCGCCAGTTCGGTATAAGCGTGTTTGTTGTAAACGTATTTTACTGTATAAGGTATTGTATTTTTCTACTTGTCAGTACATTGCACACCTGTGCCTCGATATACTGGGGCGGGCTTATGACAATGTCTCCAGAAAGCCATGGTTGAGAATAGGTAGGGCTATAGTCCATGAGGGGCGGTCGGGTAGCCTAGTGGTTAAAGCGTTCGCTCGTCACGCGGAAGACCCGGGTTCGATTCCCGACATGGGTACAATGTGTGAAGCCCATTTCTGGTGTCCACCGCCGAAATATTGCTGGAATATTGCTAAAAGCGGCGTAAAACCATACTCACTCACTCACTATAGTCCATGAAAGAAAGCATCCAAATCTTTCCAATGTTCACAATGCATATTACTTTTGCAGATACCGAGTGCCGCAAAGATATTACTTTCGTAATGGAATACAAGTCATCACCTTGGGTAGGACATTTTTGGTGTAACGGAAACTGCAGGTACAACAGTGTATGTTCGTGCAATGCGAACTGTTGGTATAACAGGAACTGTCAGTATAACGGGGGCTGTTGGTATAACGGGAACTGTTGGCACATCTGGGACGGCTGCTGCTACTGCACGGAGGACTTCCTGGACGGCGTCCTTGACGTCAGTGACCTGACTGCTAACGTTCACGTACTCTTCAATGGTCATACATACGGTTATCAACTGACCTGGCCTCGGACAACAAGCGGCCAATGCGGAGCACAAAACTGGCACTCTCATCACCAGACTCTGTCCGGCCTTCTTCAGGTTGTGAGTGGTAATTTCATGACAGGAAGACCCGATGTTCCTGACGTGATCGTTCTTGTCGCTGAGAGCAAAACGTTAGACGTGAAGGATGACGTCGCAAAGTCTCTCCGTGACAACGGCATTCTTGTCGTTGTGGTCGGCGTTGGTGATGACGTAAACCGGTCGGAACTGCTGTTGTTAGCCACAGATGAAACGTATTTGTTGATGGTCCATGATAGACTCCAACTGAAGCATTCTATACCCAAGATCCGCGAGATGGCGTGCAGTTGTAAGTACTAACCCTAACCCTAGTCCTTACCCAACCCTAATCCTAATCCTAATCCTAATCCTAATCCTAACCCTAACATAACCCTAACCCTAACCCTTACCCTAACCCTTACCCTAACATTAATCCCAACCCTAACCCTAATCCTAATCCCAATCCTAACCCTGACCCTAACATAACCCTAACATAACCCTAACCCTAACCCTAACCCTAACCCTAATCCCAACCCTAACCCTAACCCTAACCCTAACCCTGACCCTGACCCTGACCCTGACCCTGACCCTAACCCTATTGCTTGTAAGGTTCACTGTTGGGGAAACCATTGATGTTTGCCTTGAACTCTAATCACAGAACTTCTCAACCGGAGTCGTTTGCCGTGATTTGAAATCTTCGTAGAAACAGCATGAACGATCATACCTCAAGCGTTGTGAAACCATCACTGAACAATATCAGGTGAAACCATCACTGAACTATACTGAGTCAAATTAAAAACTTCAAATTTTTAAAAGTAATCCCAAATATGACATACAACGGACAAATGTATCAGAGAAGGTAATTTTTAATCATTAATGTCCAAAGAAGGATTTTAATTAACGGTGGTAACCATAATTTGTTCCAAGTACCTACGGTATTCGGTAATAACATCAACAGTTTAAATCATCCAAGTCCCAAGCACGAGAATCTGATGGCACACAAGTTAAGTAGCGTGTATGGCAAACCATGTGCGTTGACAACTGCCACATAACGCCTCCGCATGGACCTTGTGATGCTTGTGAACACATGATTGGGAAGACGACGCCATTGTTGCTGCAAAATGGTGCCAAGATCTTGCAAATTCTGTGGTTGGTTCTGGAGAGTGCGCAGACTTCCCCCAAGACCATCCCAGACGTGTTCGATGGGATTGAGGTCGGGAGACCTTGACGGCCAGTCCATGACGTTGAATCCCGAATTCTGAAGGAAATCCCTTGTCAAAATTGCTGTGTGGGGTCTGGCATTGTCGTGGTGGAAGATCAAACCGGGTCCATGAGCTGCCATAAAAGGCGGAAGTTCTGCTGCCAGTACCTGATCGCGGTAAGCAGCAGCGTTGAGGTTGCCACGGATGACAAGAAGCCTGGAACGTGCATTGCCACCGAAAGCACCCCACACCATGACACTTCCGCCTCGAAGGTGAGCAGTTCTCAGACGGTTTCGAACAGTTTGCGCACTCAGTCTACCCCTAAACAGTTCATTTCTGGTTGATGTAGCCGTCAAAAATCGGTTACGGAGGTGACGTAAGACAATCTGACGATCCTCTGCATATGACGTCACACGTGGTCGACCTGGCCGAGGGCGATCAGCGGTGGTACCCGTTTGCTGTAGACGCGTCTGTAAATCATAAACTGTCCGTCGACTACAACCCATCGTCCTTGCGACTTCAGCTACGGACGTTCCCGTCTGCAACATGCCGATGGCACGTTCACGTTGCACATTTGAAAGGCGTGGCATGACAAATGGCCGTAAAGACTTTTGTTTTCTTGTGTTTTTCTTTTTTTGTTAATGACTGCTAACAAGTATGGCTGAAACACGTGCGGTATTATGGCCACGTGACCAGTTGCACGTGTAAAACTACTTTTGCCACTATAGTGCTGTGCACATGATTTTGATCGATTCACCTGCACAAAAGCGTGTGTTATCTGAAGACAATTATACGTGGCCATTACTGTTTAAATACACAATAAGGGCCAACAATGATAACTGGTCAAAATGTTAAAAGTTTAGGATTGTGAAGTTTTTAATTTCGTTCAGTATATATCAGGTTATTCAATTATTCAATATCAACATGCACATTATTTTGTTTCATAAACCGGGTTGGCAAACATCGGTGTAAAAACAAATAGAGCTCAAGAAATAACACACCAAGCGTCCCTAATCGCCTCCATTTACCTTGATAAATCATGTTTGTTTTTTCAGGAGTTGTAGACACATGCAGATCAGTAGGATAACCAAGGCCTCGTTACAGCAGAAATGTGTCATGCTGCCTTCAATATAGCCTCCCTTATCGCACTCTACTTTAAAATGTTAACGCTTGGGTTAAATATGTTAATCCAGATAATGAATGGGCAGAAAACCACCTTATATCATAGGTATGATAAATAGTCGTCTAACTGGCGACAGTTAGAAATTCACATTACTGAATAATATAGGCAATTTGCCAGTTCAAAACAAGATAACATGACTATGCAATACAGATACAATTAAACATACAATACAGATACAATACGTATACATTTAAAGATACATTTAAAGATACAATTCTGACACCAGGTAAATATAATGCAGATACAAACAGATACATTTGAAGATACAATGATGATACAATGCAGATACAATGCAAATACAATTAAAGATACATTGCTGATACCATGCAGATACAATACAGATACAATACATATACAATTAAAGATACAATGCTGACATCATTTAGATTCAGTGCTGATACCATGCAGATACAATGCAGATACACTACAGATACAATAAGGATACAATTAAAGATACGATGCTGTTACCATGCAGATACAATACGGATACAATACAGGTACAATTAAAGATACATTGCTGACATCATGTAGATACAATGCAGATACAATACAGATATCATTAAAGATACAATCCTGATATCATGTAGATACAATGCAGATACAATTAAAGATACAATTAAAAATACGATGATGTTACCATGTAGATACAATACAGATACGATACAGATACAATACAGATACAATTAAAGATACATTGCTGACATCATGTAAAGACAATGTAGATACAATACAGATACAATACAGATACAACACAGATACAATGAAAGATACATTGCTGACATCATGAAGATACAATACACATACAAGACCGATACAACATAGATACAATTAAAGATACATTGCTGACATCATGCAGATACAATGCAGATGCAATGCAGATACAATGCAGATAAAATACAGATACAACACAGATACAATTAAAGATACATTGCTGACATCATGAAGATACAATGCAGATACAATACAGATACAACATAGATACAATTAAAGATACATTGCTGACATCATGCAGATACAATGCAGATACAATACAGATACAATACAGATACAATACAGATACAACACAGATACAATGAAAGATACATTGCTGACATCATGAAGATACAATGCAGATACAATACAGATACAATACAGATACAATACAGATACAATACAGATACAACACAGATACAATTAAAGATACATTGCTGACATCATGCATATACAATGCAGATACAATGCAGATACAATACAGATACAATACAGATACAATACAGATACAACATAGATACAATTAAAGATACATTGCTGACATCATACAGATACCATGCAGATGCAATGCAGATACAATGCAGATACAACATAGATACAATTAAAGATACATTGCTGACATCATGAAGATACAATGCAGATACAATACAGATACAATGCAGATACAATACAAATACAATACAGATTCATTTAAAGATACATTGCTGACTTCATGTAGACACAATGCAGATACAATACAGATACAATACAGATACAATTAAAGATACATTGCTGACATCATGCAGATACAATACAGATACAATACAGATACAATACAGATACAATACAGACACAACATAGATACAATTAAAGATACATTGCTGACATCATGAAGATACAATGCAGATACAATGCAGATACAATACAGACACAACATAGATACAATTAAAGATACATTGCTTACATCATGAAGATACAATGCAGATACAATGCAGATACAATACAGACACAACATAAATACAATTAAAGATACATTGCTGACATCATGAAGATACAATGCAGATACAATGCAGATACAATACAGACACAACATAGACACAATTAAATATACATTGCTGACATTATGAAGATACAATGCAGATACAATACAGATATAATGCAGACAAAATGCAGATACAATACAGATACAACACATATACAATGCAGATACAATACAGATACAATACAGATACAATACAGATACAATGCAGATACAATACAGATACAATGCAGATAAAATACAGATACAATGCAGATACAATGCAGATACAATACAGACACAACATAGATACAATAAAAGATACATTGCTGACATCATGTAGACACAATGCAGATACAATACAGATACAATACAGATACAATACAGATACAACATAGATACAATTAAAGATACATTGCTGACATCATGTAGACACAATGCAGCTACAATGAAGATCAAGATTAACCAACCACAATCTCAGAAGTTTTGCATCAATTTTGGTTTCATTTACTTACGACACAAATGCAAATGAGTGAGTGAGTGAGTGAGTGAGTGAGTGAGTGAGTTTGGTTTAACACCGCTTTTATCAGTATTACAGTTATATCGCGACGTGACAGCTTAATATCCGAGGAAAGGCCGAAGTGATGCAGGTCTCAGACGTTTACTACTTCGGTGAAACCCACGAGCACGGGTATGGTGCTGACAAACCTAGAAACATAATCGGGGCGAACCGGAATTCGAACCAACAATCATAGGTGTCTGGCGTGCCCTAGGGACGCAACTGTGCAGAGCGAATCGCACTGGCCCATACGTGCCCCCGACCGTCAATGCTAACTGAGGGGAAAACGACTCGTTTAAAATGATTTCTGAAAGAGCAGGAGTCCGAGACGTGACACATCGAATTCTATACCATCACTCTGTGTTTCCAAATAACAAGTTACATTGTCATGAATGCATTATATTTATTTTTATCAGCATGTCAGAAAGATGTTACCTTTGTTATGGCTTGGGACGAAGTCTCTCCTGGTCGCCAATCCTTGGGGTGGTGCTCTGGGGGGCTTGTATCCGAGTTCGTCAAGACTATCGACAACCAGCTGGAGGTGACCTCAGTCGACTGGTTGCCAGATGGCAACGCCAATGGCTGTCAAATGAACTGGCGAGACTTCTCCACCAACTGCTCCTGCCACAAGTCGCAATGGCCGGAATTAAGTCCTTCTCTGCTTTTTGAAAACATCATTAACAGATTCTCGAACCTCAGACCGGAATATCCGAATGTGGTCGTCTTAATCACCGACAGGCGTGTTGGATTTTCTATTGGAGATACACAAATATTTCGTGACAACAATGTTCTTGTGGTGACAGTGGAGATTGGAAACACCGGAAGTCAAGAAGAGTTACGGGCCTTGGCGACATCCAGCAACGTTTCCTTCACCTTGGAGAACTGGAGTTCCCTGACAGGGCTCATCCCGGAACTCAGGCACCTTGTATGCCACGGTATGTCAACCCTCAAATACTAGTACGTGACGGTTTTAAAGGTATATCTAATGTCACACCTCGTATGCCACAGTATATCATTGCACATGTCTCGCTTGTTCATATAATTTGACAATAATGTCTTTCTGAAATAACTTTATGCTACATGAACTACCACCCAACATAACTATAGATTCTTCCATGAAATTGACTGGTCAATCAGAGGTATCAAACCACGATTACCACCTCTGATTGAAACTGCCGATTTGACGACCGTGTCACCTCGGAAGCTAATATGTATAGAAAAGTATTTCATTGTCGGTAGGCATTACCAAATAATTACATGTACAAAATAGGTTACAAAATATGAATTTGCCGAACTCTGTATCTCGGCTAACCCACGAGCACGGGTATGGTGCTGACAAACCTAGAAACATTATCAGGGTGAACCGGGATTCGAATCATAGGTTTCTGGCATCCCCAAGGGACGCAACTCTGCACAGTGAATCGCGGCGCCTTAGACGACTGTGCCACCCGTGCCCCCACCTATCGATTAAACCGCGCAAACTTTGAATCCTCACGACCCAGTATGTTTATCTCCTAAATATATATGTATAAACATATCATATAAGTAAATGCATCAAATCGATGGTAATCTGACACGGCATTGAGTCGAAATATGAGTATATTTGATGGATAAGCTTAAAGTTGTTAGAATTTGACGTGTTTTGAATACAAAAATTGTTTTTAATCGACAGATTCATCAATTCAGCCGAAGATTGTAGGTAAGATTTAGCAGCTGATTTACAGATTTCATCTCAATGTAACACAGGAAAAGCGTATTCATCTGGATGTTTCATAATTCGACTTCAGTTTGAAAAGCTTCAACCTTTTCAAATGTCGGTGGGGTCTTCAATATGATACATGTGGTTAACCTGTGAATCAGGATCGATCTGAATATCGGTTATCCTTGATACTTGCGCTATACCTTACGTGTATCCTCATTCATTTCTAACTGTAACACATTTCTCTGCTGTGTCTATTGTCAGCGTGTGGAGACAGCAGGATAGACGTCACCATCCTCGTTGACCTCTCGCACAGCATGACGGGATATGTTCCATCCATGAAGACGTTCTTGACGACGTTCCTGACGACGCTCAGCGTCACAGACAAGGACCAACACGTGACCTTGATAACATTCTCGTCAAATGTCAAAGTTGTCGTGGAGAACAGTGTCAACATATCTGACCTCCTCGCCGCCATCAACGACCTGAAACCTCAGATGGGAGTGTCTGATATGTCCGGAGCTTTAACTGAGGCCTTTTATGTCGTGAAGAGGTCACCTCGGCTTTATATGGACACTGGTCAGTCTTGTCCAGCATTGGCGGCTCTTATTCTGTCCGACGGCTTGTCTCAGAGTAGATCTGATGTTCTGAAAGCAGCAACGAACTTAAAACGTGTCGGTGTCAGGATTTCCCTGCTGTCATTTGGAGTCGAGAGTACAGTCTACGAAAACGAGGCTATAACCTCGAACCATTACACGTTTCATTCTTTTAACCGGTCCATGAACTCTACCCTCCTGAATGAACTACACTCCGACATTGTGAATGGTGAGCGACATTTCGTCCATTTGTAAGTACGTTCATTAGTGTATGAGATCATATTAAGTTTACGAAAATAAAGTTCTGTCATGCAATTAACACAAAATATAATTGATAGCACCTCAAAACACTTCATCGTGACGTTTTAATGTACTTCTCTTCATATGATATTCATGTTTACCATTTCAACAGGAACGAGTGAGGTCCAGTCCTCCGTAGCTGGAAGTGGTGAGTTCAAACTGCATATGCACAATAGTTGTCATTTCCTGTAGCTTCAGGGGCGGTCGAGTAGCCTAGTGGTTAAAGCGTCCTCTCATCCCACCGAAGACCCGGGTTCTATTCCCGACATAGGTACAATGTCTGATGTTCCCGGCCGGCCGTGATATTGCTCGAATATTGGTATAAGCCGGGTAAAACCATACTCACTCATACTCACTCACTCACTGTAATTACAGACATTCGATATAAAAATCATGTTCCTATAACAAAATAGTTATTCAATAACTATTCTTGCATTATTTTATGAAGAAACTTAGGCTTGATATATGTTTGAGGTGGATTAATATTTGTTTTCAGATTGCGGCTATGAACCAGCCAACGTTACGTTCATATTCAATGTTCAAAGTGAAGATTTCATTCAGACGTACGTGGGAGAATTTGTAAACTTTACCAAGCCATTATCCAATCATCCACATATCAGTGTTTTGCATCCTTTCCACATTTCCTCTACGTTACCAAATGACGTGAGATCTCACAAAACTGTCAGCTCCACCTTATTAGAAATGCTTGAGGAGGTCAAGTTCCCGACTGACGTCAACGGCGCGACTTGCGTCATCATCGTCAGTGACGAGAAAGTGACAGCGCCTGCGCCCCTCTTCCGGCAAATATGGCGTCTTGCTGACACGGGGTCAAAGGTTATGTCAGTTGGAGTTGGCGATGATGTCAACAATTACGTGACAGAGCGAATTGCTTCAGTGCCAAGATATGCCTTTTCTTCAAGATCCGTTTGGGACATCGACATCCCACAGAACATGTGGAGCAGGTATTGTGAAGGTAAATGTAGGTGAAACTATTGTCAATGTGAAATAAATAAATTTTCGTTGTGTTCATTGAAATTCCTGTATTCTGATTAGCTGAATTGGTCACGTGTTTTTGCATTCATTTCCCAATGAATGTAAAACATTAAGCCACGCCGACCGAGGCGCACTACTTTTATTACTTTGGAATGTCGGGGAATCCCAATATTACAGTCGAGTGAATTCCCTTCATGTACAGGACATTTAGCGACTTACATGCATATTCATTGTCCAAAAAACCCTTTGAAACCGAAGGCCGAGAATGAATGAAACAGCAAACGTGCAGGCTCGCTCGCCTGTTTTTTTCCCGCTCGCCTCGGTTCAACTTTCATGTCTTCGGGTTTCCTTTCGAACTAGCATTTTTCCAACTGTGTTTTACCGTAATCAGGGAAGTAATGTTTGAATCTGGCGGTAACTGACCATGTTATTTGAAACAGCCGCCTTCTCCCGGACATATTTCTTCCAGTTCGTTACAGTCTGACTGTTGCAGTTCTTTTCGCCTCTTGTCTTAACTGACAGGTCCAATGAACATTGTTTTGATCCTGCTCTCCGTTGATTGGCAACTGACAGTGTAGGCGTGTCAAGTTATGTGCATAAATTAAACAATCACCTGATTCATGTCACGCCACAGTATGTATTCCTACACCTGGAATGTTTATCAATCTCGTCATTTTTGTGTTTTTTGATATATACAACTGTTTTTGGTTAAACTATTTAGATAAAACATGTTTAATGCTGTCGAATTTAATTATAAGCATTGACTGTGTATTTTTTTCCAATGTGCAAATGCGCTACGCGGATTCATACAGTTTGCACATTGGTTTTTCGATTCATACCTCAATGAACCGAAAAAAATACACAGTTAATCCCTAATTGAATATATACCGTATTCGATGTAAGAAGCGCGTAGGGCGCTCTCAAAAGTAAGAAATAGAGAGCTCTTATTAGAATATTAATTTGGTAAAAAAAACAGAGTTGAAAGATCGTCAATTTCGTGGTTTAGGCTAACAGCCTGAAATGTTTATGTACGACGGATATATTTTTTCAGAATGTAATTGCCCATAATTAAGGGTGCATATAACACACGAGTGCCTATTATATACGAATAAATAAGTCTTGTGTACATTGATCAATCGGAAGGGGTGCTAATTGGGATTGTTCACTAGCCAATATATTAGCAAATATCGATGTGGGCGCTTATTAGAGCGGGGCGCAATTTACGTCTAATACGGTAGTTATAACTAGGATGTAATTCTCTTTTTTTTCAACTCGTGCTTGTTAATAAAGGTACATTGACTGCTTTAGACTGTGGGCTCGCCTCCACCATCGCTTTATAATGAAAACTATAAGTTTGATGTAAAGTCTCTCCCTCTCTGACTGGGATGAGGGAGTTTCTCTGTACCGCTCTATCTGCTGTTCCAGCATGTGGCTTCACTCCTGCCATCGATCTGGTGTTCCTCGTGGAGGCAAGCACTCAGACATTCTCTCCATGGAACGACGTCCTCAACTTCCTCATTGGCGCCTCCGACAACTTCCCCGTCGGCAGACACAACGTCATGGTCAGCGTGGTCACATTTGGTCAACAGACGGTGTCCCAGATCCGGTTTAACAGCTACACCAACAAGATGGAGCTGTTCAGATCCATCCGAAGTCTCCAGCCTCGGAGAGGGCCCGCTGATCTCTCAACAGTCCTGCAGGATGTGGACTCCTTGTTTGCAGGTGCCCGCGGAGGAAGACCTGAAGCCAAAAAGGTCGCAGTCCTTGTCATGGCGCAGATGATAACACGCGTCAACAGTACTGGTGAGAACACTCATGTTATCCTGCTGGATATTGGTGACAAGATAAATTATTCTCCATCCAAGTTTGTAAAGAGTTCTGATATTTATATACAGACAAGAGGGGCAGATGATCTGGCGAGGTACAGCCGAGACCTGCGTGGTATTGTATGCAGCAATGAACCATGAATAAGGACCATGCTCACAAATGTGATAAACACCAAGCATCCTAATATCGGTTGAGGTAAAGAGTTTCTTTAAAGGAAATATTGTCTGAACAATAACTTTGGATTGTTTTAATAAGTTCCTGACAATATAGACAATGTGTGTTTGACATTATGTATTCTTGTTATACGATCCTAAGTGGATAAGCTTTTAGCAGACCCTTGTTGAGATTTGATCAAAGTTTTATGGTAGAATGTATTGACGTTGTCAACATTTAGTGTGTGGAATACCTGAGCGATATTCCTGTTATATGACCAGTTGCATGAGTAAGTGAGTATTTTCGTCATATGTGTATGAAACAGATAGGCACACGAATGCCATGAATAGTGAATATCGTTGTTTGAAAAGCCCATATAGAAATCATATATAGCATGCAAGACATGAGCAGTGAATATCGTGTTATAACGCACTGACTCTGCGCCAACCTGTCCTTGCCTATTTATGTCGAGCACCAGACAGGGTAACAACAAGTACCATCTTTTGAAGTCTTTTGGTATGGCGCAGCCTGGGATCTGAGTCAGTGTGCTGTGTCTGAGTGGGGTATTCATGTTAAACTAAGGTATGGTATCTTAGTGGGCTAGCACTATAAAATGTGCATTGGTCCTGACTAGTTCAAGAGGACATGCGCACACACACACACACACACACACTATTGTGGGATCGAGCCCCGAACGCAGACGCTCTACCTCTACTCCACGGAGGCGATCTCGTGTTATAATGCACCTATGTAGGAACATATATAGTAACATGATGTTGTTTGTTGTTTAACGCCGTACTCAGTAATATTATAGCTATATGACGGCGGTCTGTAAATAATCGAGTCTGGATATGACAATCCAGTGATTGACATCATGAGCATCGATCCACGCAATTGGGATTGATGACTTGTATCAACCAGACTATGCCTAGCGATAAGCATAGTCTCCTTTTACGGCAAGCATGAGTTGCTCAAGACCTTTTCTATCCCGGATCTTCACGAGTCATTGTAATGTGTGTGACATGAGTAGTGGACATCGTGTTATAACACACCTATATAGGAAGCATATAATTACATTATTTTGTGACTTGCTTTTTGATTGTACTGCTTAATTGTTGTTTTACCTGTAATGCCCTGTATTACCTATCATGCCCTGCATTACCTCTAATGCCCTGTATTTCCTATCATGCCCTGTATTACCTACCATGCCCTGTATTACCTCTAATGCCCTGTATTACCTATCATGCCCTGTTTTACCTCTAATGCCCTGTATTACCTACCATGCCCTGTATTACCTCTAATGCCCTGTATTACCTATCATGCCCTGCATTACCTCTAATGCCCTGTATTTCCTATCATGCCCTGTATTACCTACCATGCCCTGTATTACCTCTAATGCCCTGTATTACCTATCATGCCCTGTATTTCCTAATATGCCCTGTGTGACCTCTAATGCCCTGTATTTCCTATCATGCCCTGTATTACCTACCATGCCAAGTATTACCTCTAATGCCCTGTATTACCTACCATGCCCTGTATTTCCTATCATGCCCTGTATTACCTACCATGCCCTGTATTACTTCTAATGCCCTGTATTACCTACCATGGTCTGTATTACCTCTAATGCCCTGTATTACCTACCATGCCCTGTTTTACCTCATACGCCCTGTACTACCTATCATGCCCTGTATTACCTACCATGCCCTGTATTACCTACCATGCCCTGTATTACCTCTAATGCCCTGTATTACCTATCATGCCCTGTTTTATCTCTAATGCCCTGTATTACCTACCATGCCCTGTATTACCTCTTATGCCCTGTATTACCTATCATGCCCTGTTTTACCTCTAATGCCCTGTATTACCTACAATTCCCTGTATTACCTACCATGCCCTGTATTACCTCTAATGCCCTGTATTACCTACCATGCCCTGTATTACCTCTTATGCCCTGTATTACCTATCATGCCCTGTATTAATCTAATGCCCTGTATTACCTACAATTCCCTGTATTACCTACCATGCCCTGTATTACCTCTAATGCCCTGTATTACCTACCATGCCCTGTATTACCTCTAATGCCCTGTATTACCTATCATGCCCTGTATTAATCTAATGCCCTGTATTACGTCTAATGCCCCGTATTTCCTATTATGCCCTGTATTACCTACCATGCCCTGTATTACCTCTAATGCCCTGTATTACCTACCATGCCCTGTATTACCTCTAATGCCCTGTATTACCTATCATGCCCTGTTTTACCTCTAATGCCCTGTATTACCTACCATGCCCTGTATTACCTACCATGCCATGTATTACCTCTAATGCCCTGTATTACCTATCATGCCCTGTTTTACCTCTAATGCCCTGTATTACCTACCATGCCCTGTATTACCTACCATGCCCTGTATTACCTCTAATGCCCTGTATTACCTACCATGCCCTGTATTAACTCTAATGCCCTGTATTACCTATCATGCTCTGTTTTACCTCTAATGCATTGTATTACCTATCATGCCCTGTATTATCTCTAATGCCCTGTATTACCTCTAATCCATGTAGTTTGCAAAATAATCCATCGTGCCATTTTCTATCGAATATGTTTTCCTTCTCAATGAAAGGAGCACAAACTATAGTCCCTTTGTGTGTAATATCGATTGCCTTCTATCAAAGTAAATACTGACATAATATCTCCGTGTTCTTTTCTAAACCCAAACTGTAGCTTATTTGGAAAATCGGGGTTAATACGTTTCAGCAAGAGTTTTTCAAAGGGCTTGCTGAGATATGATGTCAAAGTAATGTCACTATAATTTCAAGGATCAGATTTATCACGTTTCGTCAATGAAGGATATAATGCACAGTGTAGGAAACATTATAACGTGTAGGACATGGATAGTGAATATCGTGTAATAATGCACCAATGTAGGAAACATATTGTAACATGTATGCCATGAGTAGTGAATATCATGTTATAACGCACAGTGTAGGAAACATAATAACGTGTAGGACATGGATAGTGAATATCGTGTAATAATGCACCAATGTAGGAAACATATTGTAACATGTATGCCATGAGTAGTGAATATCATGTTATAACGCACAGTGTAGGAAACATAATAACGTGTAGGACATGGATAGTGAATATCGTGTAATAATGCACCAATGTAGGAAAAATATTGTAACATGTATGCCATGAGTAGTGAATATCGTGTTATAACGCACAGTGTAGGAAACATAATAACGTGTAGGACATGGATAGTGAATATCGTGTAATAATGCACCAATGTAGGAAACATATAGTAACATGTATGCCATGAGTAGTGAATATCATGTTATAACGCACAGTGTAGGAAACATAATAACGTGTAGGACATGGATAGTGAATATCGTGTAATAATGCACCAATGTAGGAAACATATTGTAACATGTATGCCATGAGTAGTGAATATCGTGTTATAACGCACAGTGTAGGAAACATAATAACGTGTAGGACATGGATAGTGAATATCGTGTAATAATGCACCAATGTAGGAAACATATTGTAACATGTATGCCATGAGTAGTGAATATCGTGTTATAACGCACAGTGTAGGAAACATAATAACGTGTAGGACATGGATAGTGAATATCGTGTAATAATGCACCAATGTAGGAAACATATTTTTGTAACATGTATGCCATGAGTAGTGAATATCATGTTATAACGCACAGTGTAGGAAACATAATAATGTGTAGGACATGGATAGTGAATATCGTGTAATAATGCAACCAATGTAGGAAACATATTGTAACATGTATGCCATGAGTAGTGAATATCATGTTATAACGCACAGTGTAGGAAACATAATAACGTGTAGGACATGGATAGTGAATATCGTGTAATAATGCACCAATGTAGGAAACATATTGTAACATGTATGCCATGAGTAGTGAATATCGTGTTATAACGCACAGTGTAGGAAACATAATAACGTGTAGGACATGGATAGTGAATATCGTGTAATAATGCACCAATGTAGGAAACATATTGTAACATGTATGCCATGAGTAGTGAATATCATGTTATAACGCACAGTGTAGGAAACATAATAACGTGTAGGACATGGATAGTGAATATCGTGTAATAATGCACCAATGTAGGAAACATATTTTTGTAACATGTATGCCATGAGTAGTGAATATCATGTTATAACGCACAGTGTAGGAAACATAATAACGTGTAGGACATGGATAGTGAATATCGTGTAATAATGCAACCAATGTAGGAAACATATTGTAACATGTATGCCATGAGTAGTGAATATCGTGTTATAACGCACAGTGTAGGAAACATAATAACGTGTAGGACATGGATAGTGAATATCGTGTAATAATGCACCAATGTAGGAAACATATTGTAACATGTATGCCATGAGTAGTGAATATCGTGTTATAACGCACAGTGTAGGAAACATAATAACGTGTAGGACATGGATAGTGAATATCGTGTAATAATGCACCAATGTAGGAAACATATTGTAACATGTATGCCATGAGTAGTGAATATCATGTTATAACGCACAGTGTAGGAAACATAATAACGTGTAGGACATGGATAGTGAATATCGTGTAATAATGCACCAATGTAGGAAACATATTTTTGTAACATGTATGCCATGAGTAGTGAATATCATGTTATAACGCACAGTGTAGGAAACATAATAACGTGTAGGACATGGATAGTGAATATCGTGTAATAATGCAACCAATGTAGGAAACATATTGTAACATGTATGCCATGAGTAGTGAATATCATGTTATAACGCACAGTGTAGGAAACATAATAACGTGTAGGACATGGATAGTGAATATCGTGTAATAATGCACCAATGTAGGAAACATATTGTAACATGTATGCCATGAGTAGTGAATATCGTGTTATAACGCACAGTGTAGGAAACATAATAACGTGTAGGACATGGATAGTGAATATCGTGTAATAATGCACCAATGTAGGAAACATATTGTAACATGTATGCCATGAGTAGTGAATATCATGTTATAACGCACAGTGTAGGAAACATAATAACGTGTAGGACATGGATAGTGAATATCGTGTAATAATGCACCAATGTAGGAAACATATTGTAACATGTATGCCATGAGTAGTGAATATCGTGTTATAACGCACAGTGTAGGAAACATAATAACGTGTAGGACATGGATAGTGAATATCGTTTAATAATGCACCAATGTAGGAAACATATTTCAACATGTATGCCATGAGTAGTGAATATCATGTTATAACGCACAGTGTAGGAAACATAATAACGTGTAGGACATGGATAGTGAATATCGTGTAATAATGCACCAATGTAGGAAACATATAGTAACATGTATGCCATGAGTAGTGACTATCGTGTTGTGAAACGTCAATGAAGGAAACATACCATGATATGCACAACACATTTTGGTTACCAGGAATAAGTGCGTTTATAATGACAATTCAACACAAAACTTGCAACAACGATTTAATACCTGACTGTACATGTACATGACTGAGTATCAGTCATGCCCAGCTAGGGAATCGATTCGCCTTGCCCAACTGACAACCTTCCCAAGCATTTGGTATAAACACAGGAGAATCGACTACATGTACCTGACTTATGTGTATCTGACTGAGCATCGGTCAGGCCCAAGCTGTTGGGATCAAGTGTCGAGAGTCATACATTGAACACAAGGATTTCGACAATTAACTACACATCTATCATTCTACATGTACACTACAGATTGAACGCATTAGATGCTAAATACCATGGAGGTCAAGCCTGACCTGTGTTTTGACAACAGGCATCCAATGCATCCCATCCTAATGACTGCAGGGGTAAATATACCCAAAATCGGAGTAAATTGCTTGTCATTGATTATGAAACCTGTACAAGATGGCTGACCTTGAAGCGTTGTTGCACATGCTCGTACTTGGCATGCTGGGAAGTTGCCTTATCTAAGTTACTATAAATAGCTCACGCATGATACATGTATGTATTACTGACGTTTGTCTGACTGTAGATTCTTATAATAATATTAATACATAACCGGGTGGTTAGTGTTACACTTATCCGGTAATAAAACTGCAAGAAGGTTGTATTCTTGCTATTAATGTTGACTTTATGTTTACCTGATACTGACACCATAGAATATAATTAATGACGTGCCAATACCGAACGTTGTTGGAATCAATCCCAACATAAAATATACTTGTATGCTACATTTGAACTTGGAAGATATGAGAAAATAACAACATAGCAGTTTAAGTTATCATTATGAACTCACTCAATATACATTGAGCACCAATGCACGCCAGTACTGTGACAACGTTATCTGTGCATTAGCCTGAGAATGCACGCCACCCTGGAGCCTAGCAACCATCACGCCATAGGGCTGTCATGGCTTGCCTACACCATTGAAATGTAAAGTCAATACACCATTATTCAACTCCCCACGTTCAGTTGAAATCACAGACACACTGGAAGCTCACAGATACACATATCCTTCGACATGCTGGCCAAATATGTTACGTTTATTTCTTTCATTATCTCCAGGAGCTGCATGTGTTCAACAGGACCAGGTCAGTTATTATCTTCCCTACTTCAGCAGATGGAGGGATTGTTGTAGGCTACCTTGCTATATTTCGTAAAGCTTATTTGCAAAGTATTTATCAGTCCCAGTCCCAGATCTCCGCCTGGAGAGTGGCCAGTCCGAGGTTCCATTCCCGACTGGTCGGCTGGGAGTCTAAGTGGGATATTCACGTTATCAAAAGACGTTACAAAGTGGTACTTGTTGTTACTCTGTCTGGCGTACGGGATTAAGGGATAAAAGAAGGAATGGTCGGCTCGAAGTTAGAATACTGTGTCTGAGTAGGGTTTTCATGATTAACCCATGATTGTAGTTTAACGCCGTACTTAGCAATATACCAGCTGTGTGACGGCAGTCTGTACATAATCAAGTCTGGGCGAGATCATGAGCGTCGATCCACGCAATTGGGATACGATAAGCCGCAAGCCGCATGCTTCTACCAAATCAGTAAGCCTGGCCCCGATCCCATTCTTCGCCCCTTAGGACAGCCATGGGTTGCTGAAGATCAATTCTAACAATGGGTTGTGGTTATTCAAGTTAACAAATCGTCTACATGGTGCGAAAGAAAGAGCTTGTTTCACATTGACCATCTACATTAATGAAACAAAATGTATTAAAATCAAAATTATTAAATATAATTGCAACTGAAAATAGTGCGATATTGGATTGGTTACATGGCTGGTAGCTGTGTATTGCCTGTGCACAATTCGTGGATTATGGTTGCTAACCATTTGTTACCTGTGCAGGTGCCGAGTGTCTCGGAGATATCACATTCGTTATGGAATACAAGAACTTCCCCTTTACTGACCCGACTAACTGCAACTGTGACGGCAAACCCGGCTCCTACATCGTCGGAAGCTGCTGCTGGTGCTACTCCTGTTGGAACCCCTTCTACGACGACTTTCTAGATGAGCTAGGTGACGTGAGTGGCGTCAAGGTCAACATGTACGTCAGTGACGTCAGTGCTTTACGTTTGTATGATTGTACATTCGACTTGCCTCAACTTAAAACAACCAGGTGTAGAACGGAGTGTTGGAATGTACGGACTATGTCCAATACGCCAACGATTCCAGATGTTGGCGGTGTGGTCGTTCTTGTTGTCGAGAGTAGACTGTCTCATGTGATGAAGGACGTCGTTAGTTCCCTGCTTGATGGTGGTGCTGTCGTCGTCGTGGTCGGCGTTGGCAATGACGTCAGTCGCCGCGAGCTGCTTCCCTTAGCAACGGATGAAAACCGTTTGGTGATGGTGGAGCACAGAGACAGGCTTCAGGAGTCTGTGTCCGAGATTCGCCAGAAGGCGTGTAACTGTGAGTAACCAGGAAGAATTCTCGCGTCGTTACGGAACAACACACAGCAGTGTGTGCGTGTGCGTGTGCGTGTGCGTGTGCGTGTGCGTGTGCGCGTGTGTGCGTGTATGTGTGTGTGTGTGCGCGTGCGTGTGCGCGCGCGTGTGTGTGTGCGTGTGCATGTGTGTGCGTGTGCGTGTGCGTGTGCGTGTGCGTGTATGTGCGTGTGTGTGCCCGTGCGTGCGCGTATGCGAGCGTGCGTGTACGCGTGGGCATGCGCATGCGTGTGCGTGTGCGTGTGCGTGTGCGTGTGCGTGAGCATATACGCATTTGGGGGCGGGTGGGGTTTGGGAGTGTTTTGTAAATTAAACCGTATTTGGTATGCACACCTCCGCCAAAGAGTGAACTTTCGGAAGGAAAACTGAACCAGGCGTGGACCGACAATGACAAACAAGATAGCACGTGTCACTGGGAGCACCGTCCCCGGACGTCAGTTACGATAACCCGGAATCAACCAACTCACCGTTCTTGTCCACCAGATGAAATCTCTTACAAACAGAGGAAACTGACAGTTAAGGGACACAACTCTTCACCCCTTGATATACCGTATTTCATCTATTGGACGCCTGGGCGTCTATTATTTAAGAGCAAACCTTTGATCAAATTGGCATGTTTTGGAGGCCCGGTGTGTCAGATAAAACAAATACGGTATTAATAATTGAATAAAGTGTCTTATCCAAACACCCTATGAGCCCCTGGAGACGACACAGTAGGAGTTGTTATATAAGTACTCGCTATGTTTGTTGTGCCCAGTATCGCCCCTCTTATCTTGAGTCAGTTCCAGCTTCACACACTGCAAACAGAGACACAGGGGACTTGCTAGGTTACAGGTGGGGTGTCGGAGCATGCGGGACATGGAAGACGGTGGAAGAGACGTACGCGTGTGTATTCAACAAAGGAAAACAAACACACCCACGTTTACAGCATCAAATATGTGTTAGGGTATTTAACACGTGCTAGAAATCTTAAGCTGTTGTCGTGTTTAGACCGAAAAAGGATTTCCTTTCTCTAAACATGTGAAATGGCTTATGCTCTCATTACATGGGTGTTAAATCTAAACATGTTTAAAACGTAAGCGTGTTCAGGACTAAACACGGATACATGGGTGAGTGAGTTGGGTTTTGTCACAAGAACGTGTAGAATATACTTAATATTGACATTCCATGGCACCTAAATGTGTTTACAGCAGATCTAATGTCAATCTGATGGTCAGATTCCTGAAGAGTGTTGAATCGCATACAACGCCTTTATCAAGCACATACAACGCCTTTATCAGTTTATACAACGCCGAAATCAATCATTTATCATACCTTTATGAAGCATATACCATGCTTCTGTCAAGCATACCCAACGCCGGTATAAAGCATATACACTGTGACAATTCGAAACGTGGTGAGGACAACATATTTAGGATGAGGAACGTGTTAAGTTTTCTACAGAGCATGGCCACATAATATACAACATTATGTAATGACATAACCCTTGCAATATGCAAATAACCACACATATACCTGCCTCTTTCATGCCCTTACAACGCCTTTATCAAGCATAAACAACGCCTTTCTCGAGCATATGCAACACCCCTTTCAAGCATATAAAGTGAACGTCAAACATACACATCTGTATCAAGCATAAAACAAAGCACCTGTCAAGCATATACAACATCTCCTTCAATTTATACAGCGCATCTATGAAGCATATACTACGCTTTTAACGAGCATATTCAGCGCCTCAGTCACGCATTATACATTACCTTTATCAAGTTCATTCAACGCCAATATCAAGCATATACAACTCCTCGATCATCCTGATACAACACCTCTGTAACACTTATACAACGTTTTTATCAAGCATATACCTACACGTTTATCAATAATACATACCGCTTTTATCTGGCCTGTGTACAACAATGGCACTCCCAAGCATATACAACGCTTTTATCCTGCTTATAAAACGCATCTATTCCGCTTATACAACGCCGCCATCATGCATATACAACACTTCTATTCCGCTTATACAACAACTCTATCATGCATATACAACGCATCTATTCCGCTTATACAACGCCTCTATCATGCATACACAACGCATCTATTCCGCTTATACAGCGCATCTTTCATTCATATACAACGCATCTATTCCGCATATACAACGACTCTATCATGCATATACAACACTTCAATCACGCTTATACAACGATTCTATCATGCATATAAAACGCATCGATTCCGCTTATACAACGCTTCTATCATGCATATACAACGCATCTATTCCACTTATACAACGCCTCTTTCATTCATGTAGAACGCATCTATTCCACTTATACAACGCCTCTGTCATGCATATACAACGCCTCTATTCCACTTATACAACGCCTATTTCATTCATGTACAACGCATCTATTCCACTTATACAACGATTCTAACATCTAATACAACGCCTCTCTCCGCTTATACAACGCCTCTGTCATGCATACACAACGCATCTATTCCGCTTATACAACGCCTCTTTCATTCATGTACAACGCATCTATTCCACTTATACAACGATTCTAACATGCATATACAACGCCTCTATTCCACTTATACAACGCCTCTGTCATGCATATACAAAGCATCTATTCCGCTTATACAACGATTCTAACATGCATATACAACGCCTCTATTCCACTGATACAACGCCTCTGTCATGCATATACAAAGCATCTATTCCGCTTATACAACGCCTCTATCATGCATATACAACGACTCTATCATGCATATACAACGCCTCTATCCCACTTATACAACGCCTCTGTCCTGCGTATATACACTCATCCTCTCCCGACCTGATTTCATGCTAACTTCACTTCTCAAATAGAATACCCCACACATATCTGTCTCAGTTATTGCGTCTAATATTGGTTAGCTTTCAGGCCTCATGGAGAAGGCGACCAACAGTTAATATTTGTCTCTATTAATATTTTAATCTCTACACGTGTACAAACCTTGCGTCATCAGTGATTTTCAGTGGTCCATTCATATAATGTTTCGGCTATGTTGTCGTTTTCTTCAATTGAATCTGTTCTGTCAGATAATATAGATTGCATGTGCACGAGTGAGTGAGTTGTCGCTAACGCTCTTTTCACAGTATGTGAGTTATATCTCGGTGAATAAGGGAGTTTACAAGGTGGGTTATATTAGTGGCTCTCAAATTCGAACCCAAGATCAGGGGATATTATTATGACCTGTGCAGCTACTTGCGATTATTTGGAGCTGGGCACCCCGTGCCCCAGAGAGTATACTGCCATAGTTTTGAAGTATGATGTAAAAGATATCTTAACGATATTAATACTAAAAAGGAGAGTCATACAGCATCCGATATTGGCATGACAGTTGCCGGAATAGAGTTTGGGTCGCAAAAGCAAGCTTACAAGGTAACGGACAAAGGGAACAGATATCTAAAATCGCTCAAGTTCAATGACACGTCACATAAATAGTGCGTATGAAAGTTGGTAGTGGGATGACGTCAGGTGGGATATGTTGCCATGCTTTTTGGAGGGCCTGGATCAGTTCTTGTCTGTTGGCTGGAGGATGTGGTCGGTGTCGAACACGACAACCCATGACATCCCTGAGGTGTTCTATGGGGGACATGTCTGGGGAGCGTACAGGCCACGGCAACACGTTGACGTTGTTTGCTGCAAGGACGTTCTGTACGATGCGGGCTGTATGGAGTCTGGCGTTGTCATGCTGATAAAGAACACCGCGTGGTAGCAAATTGGACGAAGAAAGTCCTCCATGCAAAGCTTAGCTGTCAAATTTCCGTTAACGATGATCAGTGATGTTCTCTCCTACCCACAAAGATCTCCCCGCACCATACCATTCCCCCCACCATACGACACGACCTCCTGAACGTAACATGCCGTTCGTTCTCCCCTTTGGCGGTAAAAACGTAGTCTGTCATTAGCTCTGAAAAGACAGAACAGGCTTTAATGCCAGTTACCTCGTGCCAACGACGTACAGTCTCGACTCATCTCAATCTCTGACGACAATTTTGCGCTGTCAATAACTGTCCTCTGTAATGTCTGAAAGCCCCAATTCCTTGTCGACTTACCAAATGACGTCGCTATCAGGAATCGATTCTGGAGATGTATATACAACATACACAAGTACCGGTCTTCATTGGGCATAGTTACCCTGGGTCTGCCTTCTAGGCTTGTCTTATATCTGCCCGGTCTGTCTGCTGTTGCATCAGGTTAGTTACAGCAACACGGGAGCAACCCAAAGTTCTAGCAATGTGGGTATGATCGACTCCCATCTGTATCATACCCAGGGCCCTCTAGAATTGTTCGGGTGTAAGTCGTGGCATTTCTGTAGTGTTTCGTTTTCGTCAGTGTGAGTGTCTGACATGCCGTCAGTATCCTGTATATACATTTATTGCAGGCTGTTTCGGCTGCCGAAGCGACACGTGTTTTTCACCTTTTCGCATTTTCTTAAAAGAAAAAACGTGCTGCGGGCGTGTATTACTCTCTAAATAGGGCATTGTTGTTTTTGGACGATATGTTTTGCATTGAGTTAGTTTGAACTGGTGTTATCAAATATTTTCAATTCCATTTTAAAGTGGTAAAGTTTCTTTAGGTCGTCAGTTAATTTAACGATCATGCATTCTCTCCTCCACAGTTCCTATTACCTTTCTTGTTCGAACACGGACACTGATTGATTTATTAGTACATTCTTTGTTTGTTTTTATCAGCATGTCAGAAAGATGTGACATTTGTTATGGCTTGGGACGAAGTCTCTCCTGGTCGCCAATCCTTGGGGTGGTGCTCTGGGGGGCTTATATCCGAGTTCATCAAGACTATCGACAACCAGCTGGAGGTGACCTCAGTCGACTGGTTGCCAGATGGCAACGCCAATGGCTGTCAGATGAACTGGCGAGACTTCTCCACAACCTGCTCCTGCCACAAGTCGCAATGGCCGGAATTAAGTCCTTCTCTGCTCTATGAAAACATCATTAACAGATTCTCAAACCTCAGACCGGAATATCCGAATGTGGTCGTCTTAATCACCGACAGGCGTATTGGATTTTCTATTGGAGATACACAAATATTTCGTGACAACAATGTTCTTGTGGTGACAGTGGAAATTGGAAACACCGGAAGTCAAGAAGAGTTACGGGCCTTGGCGACATCCAGCAACGTTTCCTTCACCTTGGAGAACTGGAGTTCCCTGACAGGGCTCATCCCGGAACTCAGGCACCTCGTATGCTATGGTATGTCAACCCTCAAATACTAGTACGTGACGGTTTTAAAGGTATAGCGTATGTCGATATTTGTCCCTTTTACAAATACATATGTTGGTACTTTTTGGTTCTTATTACGAATGTATATATTGTAATAATTATTGACGTATTTTTATATTTCCTCTGCAGATATGTCACTACAACGGAACGATGTGGGTAAGTGTTTGTGACCGTGACAGGTAACCTCTGCAAGCAATGAAGGGGCGGTGGGGTAGCCCAGTGGTTAAAGCATTCGCTCGTCACATGGAGGACCCGGGTTCGATTCCCCTAATGGGTACAATGTGTGAATCACATTTCTGGTGTCACCGCCGTGATAAAATTGCTGGAATAGTGCTAACATCGGCGATACCCAACTCACACATTCACTCACTCTGTGTGGAGTTCTCGTGTGTCGGATCGAAAGACGACAAGAACCACCAGAGTGTTGTTACACCCACAGGTAGCGATCACGTGACATCCGTTTACATCAAACTGCACCCTTGACAACTAATCATCATGCTACAAATCATTGAAACATTGAATCAGTCCTCCAAAAATGTTTCAAGGAGTTCTATACATTTTGAGCACACACTTGACGAGGCAAAAATGTACCTTGTATGTTATAAACATATGTTATCAACATACTTTCGATGTATGTTTTTTTGTATTATTCCAATGACCGCCTGCGTGGTCTAGTGGTAGAGCGTCCGACCGAAGAGCAGAAGGTCCCCTGCCGCGTAATACCAGAAGACGTTAAAATATGGTACTTGTTGTTACCCTGCCTGACGTACGGCATTAAGGGGCTAAAACAAGGAATGCGCGGCTCGGAGTCAGTATACTTTGTCTTTGTGGGGTATTCGTGTTAAACTGCGGCATGGTAGCTCAGTTGGCTAACACTTCATTCGGCATTAGCCTGGACTGGTACAAGCAGCTAAACACACGTGCATGGACGTCGCTATATTAGTGCAATAATCTTGGACGCGGCGGTAAACCCCATTTCACCTCACCTATTATTTAAATACCATCTTTTAAAAATGGAAGTGGCTGCAGTCTGTGTGAATATAAAAGTCGTACTGACTTCATTTTGTCTTGGGACTCACATGGCACTTCTTTGTCTTTCTGCTTTGTCAAGCTTGTGAATCAAGAACAGATACCACACTCCTCGTTGACCTCTCGCATAGCATGACGGGATATGTTCCACCCATGAAGACGTTCTTGACGACGTTCCTGAAGACGCTCAGCGTCAAAGACAAGGACCAACACGTGACCTTGATAACATTCTCGTCTAATGTCAAAGTTGTCTTGGAGAACAGTGTCAACATATCTGACCTCCTCGCCGCCATCAACGACCTGAAACCTCAGATGGGAGTGTCTGATATGTCCGGAGCTTTAACTGAGGCCTTTTATGTCGTGAAGAGGTCACCTCGGCTTTATATGGACACTGGTCAGTCTTGTCCAGCATTGGCGGCTCTTATTCTGTCCGACGGCTTGTCTCAGAGTAGATCTGATGTTCTGAAAGCAGCAACGAACTTAAAACGTGTCGGTGTCAGGATTTCGCTGGTGTCCTTTGGAGTCGAGAGTACAGTCTACGAAAACGAGGCTATGACCTCGAACCATTACACGTTTCATTCTTTTAACCGGTCCATGAACTCTACCCTTCTGAATGAACTACACTCCGACATTGTGAATGGTGAGTGATCTTTTGTCTATGAACATGTATAAGTACGTTCATTAGTTCTCGGGGTTTACAAGAAGTAGATTTCTGTCAAACAAAAACACCAAACTAAATTGATAGCCAAAGATAATTTTTCTGTGTTGTACTGAATGTACATGAAAGATTAATCTCATTAACAGCTTTCTCCAGTTTCAGCAGAAGCGGCTAAGGGACACAACTCCGCAGCTGAAAGTAGTAAGTTCAAAATATGTTTACATCACATCATGCATTTTTCCGGAGCTACAAACATTCAAAATTAAACCATGTACTAACAAGTAAATTATTTCTTACACAAAATTCGGTGACTGCTCTGTTTTTATGTTTTAACAATAATTCTTTGTATATGTTTGAGGTGGACCAATTTTTTTCAGATTGCAGCTATGAACCAGCCAACGTTACGTTCATATTCAATGTTCAAAGTGAAGATATCATTCAGACGTACGTGGGAGAATTTGTAAACTTTACCAAGCCACTATCCAATCATCCACATATCAGTGTTTTGCATCCTTTCCACATTTCCTCTACGTTACCAAATGACGTGAGATCTCACAAAACTGTCAGCTCCACCTTATTAGAAATGCTTGAGGAGGTCAAGTTCCCGACTGACGTCAACGGCGCGACTTGCGTCATCATCGTCAGTGACGAGAAAGTGACAGCTCCTGCACCCCTCTTCCGGCAAATATGGCGTCTTGCTGACACGGGGTCAAAGGTTATGTCCGTTGGAGTTGGCGATGATGTCAACAATTACGTGACAGAGCGAATTGCTTCAGTGCCAAGATATGCCTTTTCTTCAAGATCCGTTTGGTATATCGACATCGCACAGAACATGTGGAACAGGTATTGTGAAGGTACGTTTTATCCCTTTGTATACCGGAGAACCGGTACAAATACTGATTTAACGTTAATTTTTGGACAGCAGGCTGAAGTCCAGTCAATGAGACACGTGAAGATCCTGGTTAGAATGGGTCTTCAGGAACCCATGCTTGTCTTAAAAGGCGATTTTTCTTATGCTAAGAGGCGATTAACAGGATCGGGTGGTAAGACTTTGTTGATGCATGTCATCGTATCCCAAATGCGTTGGTCGATGCTCATGATGTCAATCACTGGATTGTCTGGTCCAGGACTCGATTATTTACAAACCGCTGTCATTTATCTGGAATAGTGCTGAGTGCGGCGATAAACGGTAAATCGACCCAGTCAATAACCTCTGTCTGATTCACTAGCTACTGAATTGGTCTTTATTAATATGCTTATATTAAACATCATTTAACATTTAACTTGTGCTTTCTGTCCAAATGAACATACAGCGGCATGATCAAGACAAAGTATGACCTACCTTATTTCACTGATATAACTTACAATTGGACTTTTGTCTTTTATAAGTAAATGTGCAAAAACATTTGATCGCACCCCGTCTTCCAAATCACGTATGAACATATCTCCAGGTTAAATTTAGCTCAATATCATCAATATTTGTTTACGGAATAGGTGACTATTATTGTGTCAGATTATTAAATGTTAACTTCGTTTTGATTTCCATATCTATATATGTCTTTTATATGTATCAATATTTGTGTAAGAAATAATCTTCACACATACTTGTGAAGTGAGTGAGTGAGTGAGTATGGTTTTACGCCGCTTTTAGCAATATCCCAACAATTTCATGGCGGGGGACACCAGAAATGGGCTTCACACATTGTACCCATGTCGGGAATCGAACCCGGGTCTTCGGCGTGGCGAGCGGATGCTTTAACCGCTATGCTACCCGAACGCTCCTACATAACTGTTGACGAGTGATCACGTGATATTTGGGATAATTTGCATTTTCATCATGGGTAGTCCCTGAAGCTCAAACTATTTCATTATTCGAAAACCAAAATTATGTTATCTAGTTTTTAACCAATTTAGCTGATGGATATGAATAAGACATGCGACTGGGGTGAGCGAGTTTCTATGTACCGCTCTATCTGCTGTTCCAGCATGTGGCTTCACTCCTGCCATCGATCTGGTGTTCCTCGTGGAGGCCAGTACTAAAACATTCTCTCCATGGAACGACGTCCTCAACTTCCTCATTGGCGCCTCCGACACCTTCCCCGTCGGCAGACACAACGTCATGGTCAGCGTGGTCACATTTGGTCAGCAGACGGTGTCCCAGGTCCGGTTCAACAGCTACACTAACAAGATGGAGCTGTTCAGATCCATCCACAGTCTCCAGCCTCGGAGAGGGCCTGCTGATCTCGCAACAGTCCTGCAGGATGTGGACTCCTTGTTTGCAGGTGCCCGCGGAGGAAGACCTGAAGCCAAGAAGGTCGCAGTCCTTGTCATGGCGCAGATGATAACACGCGTCATCAGTGCGGGTGAGGACACTCATGTTATCCTGCTGGATATTGGTGCCAAGAGAAAGTATTCTCCATCCAAGTTTCTAAAGAAATCTGATATTTATATACCGACAACAGGGGCACATGATCTGGTGACGTACAGTCGAAACCTGCGTGACATTGTATGCAGCAATGAACCATGAATGGCAGACTGTACCTAAACAGAGCGAAAGGAGGGCGATTCGAGTCACTTTCGACTTGTGCTAATGTCTGAAAACACTGAAATTCCAGCCTCTTATAATTTTCTTGTAAAATGAAATATTTTGTCTGGCGTTCTGACAGCACGTCTAAATTCTTGTGTTACAGGTAAGATTATATTTTATGAGTATCCCACCATATACTGTAGAATCAGTGGTAGTAATGTGTGTATCACGAAGTTAGGCCCCCTGCGTTTCGCTTTGGTGAACACAATTATTGAGCTTGTTGATGAATTATACGTTAGGTGCCACCCTTAGGCATATGTATGTACAATATTAAAGGGACCTTTGTAAGCCTCTCGGTGATACGCCCACAAGAGTAGAAACGTCACTATGCACGACTGTAGGAATATCCATACTTATGCACGAAAGCCACATTGTGTTTGCCTGAAGGCTGTAATTAGATCATTGATAAAACAAGAAAAAACAAGCAGAGATGTCACTACCTTAGCTTACACCTTGTTGAATCTTATATCTGTCTGGCTGTTCCACCTAGTAAGTAATATAATCCTAACTATTTGCATAACAAAGTTGTAGTAGTTGCCCTGTATTACCTCTGGGGCTAAGGGTGGCCCAGTCTAAGGCGCCGCGATTCGCTGCGAAGAGTTGCGTCCCTTGGACTGAAATACTCACACTAACTCACCCAAAACCCGTGCTCGCTCACTCAGTGTATTACAAATACTGTATTATCTTTAATGCCCTGTAGTACCTCTCATGCCCTGTATTACCTCTAATGCCCTGTATTACCTCTAATGCCCTGTGTTACCTATCATGTCCTGTATTACCTCTAATGCCCTGTATTACCTCTAATGCCCTGTTTTACCTCTAATGCCCTGTGTTACCTATCATGCCCTGTATTACCTCTAATGCCCTGTATTACCTCTTATGCCCTGTATTTCCTATCATGCCCTGTATTACCTCTAATGCCCTGTATTACCTATCATGCCCTGTATTTCCTATCATGACCTGTATTACCTCTAAGGCCCTGTATTACCTATCATGCCCTGTGTTACCTCTAATGCCCTGTTTTACCTATCATGCACTGTATTTCCTATCATGCCCTGTATTATCTCTAATGCCAATGTATTAGCTATATGCCCTGTATTACCTCTAATGCCCTGTGTTACCTCTAATGCCCATGTATTACATCTAATGGCCTGTATTACCTCTAATGCCCTGTATTACTTCTAATGCCCTGTGGGTCGGTCGGGTAGCCTAGTGGTTAAAGCGTTCGCTCGTCACGCCGAAGACCCGGGTTTGATTCCCGACATGGGTACAATGTGTGAAGCCCATTTTTGGTGTCCCCTGCCGTGATATTGCTGGAATATTGCTAAAAGCGGCGTAAAACCATATTCACTCACTCACTCACTAATGCCCTGTATTACCTATCATGCCCTGTATTACCTATCATGCCCTGTATTACCTCTAATGCTCTGTATTACCTCTAATGCCCTGTATTTCCTATCATGCCCTGTATTACCTCTAATGCCCTGTATTACCTCTAATGCCCTGTATTTCCTATCATGCCCTGTATTACCTCTAATGCCCTGTATTACCTCTAATGCCCTGTATTTTCTATCATGCCCTGTATTACCTCTAATGCCCTGTATTACTTCTAATGCCCTGTATTACCTCTTATGCCCTGTATTACCTCTAATGCCCTGTATTACCTCTAATGCCCTGTATTTCCTATCATGCCCTGTATTACCTCTAATGCCCATGTATTACCTCTAATGTTTTGAAAATAGTTACATTTTCTTTGGAATGTGTTTTCATTATCCAAGAAAGGAGCATATATAGTCCCTATGTGTGTAATATTAATTGCCTTCTATCAAAGTAAATATTGACATGATAGCTCCGTGTGTTTTTTAAAACTAAACAGTAGCTTATATGGTAAATGGGTCTTAAGCCTGAACAATTTGTCTTCTATGCGTTTGAGCAATAATTTGTCAAAGAGCTTACAGAGATATGATGTCAATTAAAGCAACAAAATCCTTATCATATCCAATAGAGTCGATTGTAAGAATCCGACTACACTATTCAAAAAAGAAACGCACAGGTAGATTTTAGTAAATTTATTATACCCAATAAAGTCGATATATTTAATTTAATATCATAGGTACAACAACTTTGGAGCTCGACAGTCACATGTTGTCGTTGTACAAAGGCATTGAAAACTGTCCATTATCATCATGTCACATAAGGCCACAAGGTTGCACTGAGCTCAGTATCTCGTGCGACCGCCCCCGGGCAGCAATCACGGCTCTGCATCTCTTCGGCACCGAAATTGTCCAATTCACGTACACAATGTGGGGCAAAACACTCATGTCGACGACGATAAACACGTTACCTTACATCTCGCCGGTGAAGAAGAAATCGTGATTCATCGCTTAACCACACTCGTCTCCAGTTTCCAAGGCTGTAAGGTATGGCACCAACACAAGCGTTGCTGTCGATGGATCTGTTGCAAAACAGTGACGATAACTAGTCTTCTTGGTTGGATTCCAGCCTCGCGAAGATGGTTCCTGACAGTCTGGTCCGATATCCTCCTCAATACAGGGAGGCGTCCTTCAGTCTCCGTAGCTGTGGCAGTGCGATGACGTAGGTGTTACAGTCGAATGTGGCGATCCTGTGCAGGGGTGGTAACTCTTGGTCGGCCGGTTCTCGGACGGTCTCCAGTGGAACTGAACTGTGTGTATCGGTCCCAAAGGCGGCAAATGGTGCTGTGGTGGACGTTCAAGTGGCGTGCAACGGAAGACTGCGATTCCCCTCTTTGAATACGTCCTATGGCGATGTCTCGGCATTTTCGAACTAAACATGCTGACAATTGAATGACAAATTATTGGCTTATGCTTGCCTTTTTATAGCGACTACCACGAATTACGAAAGCCATTACCTGCACGTGCATTTTGCTTTACTGTTTTCATCCATGACATTTTTGAACAAGTGTGAAAATAATGCCGTTGAAGACAATGCAAATCGACAATGGCTGCATTTTGACACACCGTTTGTCGAAAATGAGGCTACCAACAATTTCCAATAACATATATCTAATTTATATACCAGATTGTTTGTGTAGGAAGGTTCAATGAACTACATACTACCTGTGTGTTTCTGTTTTTGAAGAGTGTATATCATATAATTGTACCAGGTGTTCTCGAGACGCTGAACGTATCCTAAACCACAGGTGGCACCCGTCTGTTACGACGTAAATTGTAATAACGTGGTAAATTGTAATAAACTGCGGAAAATGTGGTACAATGTAATACTGTGGTAAATTGTAATAAAAACTGCTGTAAATTGTAATTTCATCTCTCATTCCTTCAGGCTCCAAACATAATTCGAGTTCCAGGGTTTGTTCGACTAAAGCATGAGCAGTTCCAACCTCCAGCGTGTTTAACATGTTTAAGGAAATTAAAAAGCGATTTTGTTTAAATTTTGGTGATATCTTATGTGTGTATCTGTGTCTGTAAAATAAGTCTAAATATTTCGAATGCTTCAATATATGAAACGAAATTCACTAAGCGTAGACAAGAGCAGTTTTGATTTTATTGTTATAAACACGCCAACAAATCAATCACAGGACCAAAAGCCAGATTTGACATAATTGAAACAAGCTCAAATAAGTAGGAAATGCATGCGATGTCAGGAATTGCGTATAATTCCCAATATGAACTAATTTTGGGCGTTTATTCTATATGAAGCTATACCTTAGAAACATATGATCATCGTGGATTGCTGTATGTACAAGCACCATTGTCATGAATAGTACGACACCACATGTAAAAACATAGACCATCTAGAATATATATACATAAGACAAAATGTATAAGATAACAAAACGTTTCTTGCCTTAATAAGGAGTGGAACGATCAATCAAGCAGGTCACCATCAGCAGTGTTGTGTACTGACCAATGCTGACTATAATACTAATTTGTTCGACTATGCACTGCGGCCGCTGGACAATAGAATTCACGGAGGGTGATGGGTTTGATGGATACAAACTAAATCATTTTTTGCATAGATCTACATCATTCAAGGTAAAAAAATAGTGATATAAAAATAGTGGTTCAAAAACACTGCAAACGTACACAAACGTGCTTATTAAGCACCCTGAAAATGATTCACATGTATGTCTACTTTAAGTTAACATAACATGCACCACGCAGAAGGAATTGCATAAAACTGTTGTGGACATTACACAAGTCATAAAGGTGCATTCACAAAACCATGCTCCAAAACAACATTCGAACCTTGCACTTTGGGCCGCATTCCTGACCAAACATATTCCAATATTAAAATGGAGAACCCTCGAAGTCCGATTATGACATACTATTCCCATCAGCAAAAATCTCCACTTATAAGCATAACATAAGTTTATATTCATATCTAGCAAATAAACAACGTCTTCAGTCAACGTCCTCAACACCCTATGAACGGAACCACTTCAGCACCGACATCATCAGAGAGACCACCACGACTCCTGTAGACTCTCTCCTGTCACCACACCCACAAGTTATCGCCTTCTTCCTGAAACAGAACATCACAAAATATCTACTGCTGGAACCAATGTGAACTTAAAGTGTTTTTAAGGGAAAGGCCTTTGATGTTTTGGAGGTGGAGGAGGAGGGGTCTGGGACAGAGGCTTGTTTCATTGTTTAACAAATACTGGAGGCAATATTTTGACCGCAGAGTTTACATTTAAATTATAACTGTTCACCAGACACGGGGGATGTCCTGAAACAATTTTTTTTGTGGTTCCTAACAAGATTATCGGACCTATAGCCGTTGTAGGCAATGCCTTGATCAACTGTTACCTGTAATGTGAGTTCCGTCCTGGTGCAGGCATACCTTTGCTTAAACCTAAGGTTGGCTTACCTCCGAAACGTCTGACACAGCCGCACAAAATGTTGATATCCTGGCGTGAGATAAGAAAGTACCTACCCAAGTGATGACACTATTTTCAAAGCAACGCCATCGTCTTTGGAAGCCGTTATTGAAGACGTCGTCAGAAGGTATATCTCTCCTGAAGAAACACAGAATGCATATGCTAGGATCAATCTGGACGAAAACAGATAAACACGGTTATAGCAATATATGCGATCGTTTTTTTTTAAGGATAGACTTAACCCTCGCAATGTCACCTTGTTCATCTTGACCAAAGGTCAGTAGGAAGTCCCTGGGTCGCATCCTGGCGTCACACGGACACTGATTTCCATCACAAACCGGAAGCGGGGACGATGTCCAACCGTAGCTGTCCTCGGTTAACACCGACATTTGGCTGGAATAAAACCAGACACAGATACAAACACAGGCGCAGGCGCAGAGACAGACGCAGGCGCAGAGACAGACCAGGCGCAGAGACAGACGCAGACGCAGACGTAGACTCAGTCAGGTGTGGGCACAGAGAGAGCTACAGGTACAAACACAGATGCAGATTCAGGCAGATATAGACACATATTCATATATAATTGGAGGAATCATTGGTTATCAAGTAGATACACTCCACAATGCATTATAACATCCTCTTTATGACCTCTGTCAATTGTCACAGATAATCTCATCCTAGTGTCACTGGCATATACCCTTTCAGGTGACTAATGTGACTTTCAAATGGCACGGGTGGTCTGGAGGCATAATGCATTTTCATCTGTTATCTGTCTCTAGGATCCTCTGGTCTTGGGTTTAGATCTAAGCGTCGCCCAAACTATGATATTTGGTCTTTTGGCACTGAAGTGGTAAATGTCGAAGACATGAGTAAATATTCATTTTATCCTGTTTGAATAAGTTCACATAACTAAATATTGTTCAGACGGCGTTAACTCACTCAGCCAATCATTAACCTCAAGTCTTGTGGTATCAGTCTGAAAACCCAACAACATCTTCGGCAGTTTGATTTTATTGCCAATTAACGTTAATTTTTAAATTAATAGATTAACTTCCTGCCTCTGTGGGGGCATGGATGACCCAGTTACCTTTAACTGTAATTCGCTGGGCAGAGGTGCATTCCTTTGACAACTTCGGCTGAAACATCTGATGTTTCTTGGGATGTCAGCACCATACCGGTGCTCATGAGTTTAGCCAAAGAGGTAAATGTCTAAGACAAGATTCACTTACGGCATTCCTCCGACATTAAGCTGACACACAGTTGTATGACTCAATCACAAACTCAATCACTACACTCTGTACATATCTGCATGTACTCACCCGGTCATGGCGTCTCCGTACATATAGCGCCCGTACAAGTCAAGAAGATTCCTGCCTCTGTACACATATCCCCCGACGACAGCATGAAAGAGGTTGGTGTGCATGTACATGTAGATCGGCAGCGCTTCGTTCTCTGTAACCACATTCAGGATGAAGTTTACAGAAGGCACTCTTTGTTTCCAAACAGGTGTGGGATCACTCACCAACCCCAAAGGAAACATAGAAACCAACCTACCCGACCCCACCCCACACCACTCTACCCGACACCTTACCTCAACATCACACAGAAAGGAGTAATGACATTTGTGTCGTCTATATCATTTAAAAGAAAATTCCAAAGAAGTAATCTACCTTTCATCCTCTCACAATTTGCTATAGAAACTCATCGCTTTCTGGCTATATGACTGACGTGAGGGAAATTAAAATTTTGATTACAAATATAAGAACGTTTTTGATAGTAGGTATTCCTATCACCCGTGTGGATGGGCCAGACAAATTATTCTCATGAAATGCAAATGAATTTTCGAGACATGTTGGTGCCATATTGGGAGGAAACACCCCTACCCTCCCTCTTATATATTCTCATGCCGGACTTTTCTGTGGCTTTGTATTTTACCGTAAGTCCGTGACCACATGTGCGGATATAAAGAGGCGTGAGGGCATATTCGAAATTTTGCAGCCAACGTCACTAATATCGGGTAAAACCACCTCTGTTTGTCAGACAGACATGCACGATTCCTTGGAGGCATGCTTCTGACAGAGTGCTTGCCATGGAATGTTTCCTGTTGGAGGAATTGGGTCACAATCCTGGCACAGTGAACGCGTTCACTGTCATCTTAAAAGTTGAAACGTTGCCCAACACGAGTGGCGCAATGATGTCCCGATAGTATTGACCTGTGACTCTGCTATTAGCAATAAGGAGCGCAGTTCGGACAGTCATTGTAATACCACCCTTAATCATACGCACCCCAAAATGTTAACGTCCATAAAGCGTTCATAAGGACGTCTCGAAACTCGATTCCTTCGGTCACGGAAGTCAGGATGAACCTCGATTCGTTAGGAAAAATGACATTAGACCAACATCGATTATCCCATTGCTACACCACTTACGCCTCTGATTGGGATGACACATTGACGTCGTGCACGAAATGTCATCTGTGCAGGCGATTTCGCACCGTCTGTGCATGTACTCTCGATTATCTGACAGGCAGTTTGCAATCCATTTCATAATCCCATCGTTCTCACTAATCTATCCTGGGCTTGAGTTGTTGCCCTTGGGCATCAAGAGCGGTGTCTATCATTGACGTTCTGTGTTTGTTGTATTCTACTGATTACAGATTGAGAAATATGCAGTGTTCGGGCAACAATATTCTGACATGTGCCCACCTGCAACATGCCTGTGACACGGAGACGTTCAGCACGTTGCTAACGTCACATGATCAATGCTGTTGCTTCCTTAATGATTAAATTTGCTTAATAAAGAATATTTGAGCGTTTGGTTCCATAAAATCAATATGGGTCTGCTAACAACCAAACCTGAGTGACAATGGTAAATCCGGCATACCACCCCCAGCACGAGTTGTCTGAGATCTCGTGCTTGATGACATGTCACAATGTTGTTTGGGAGCTTTGTTCTTTTCCACATTAATCAGTCGCTTGCATTGCCAGACATTGATGTATTTCCCTGTAGTTTCACCTCAAATAAAACATCCCCTACCTGTTTTGCATAGTATATATCCGAGAAGAATAAAGGCGTATTTATTTATGAAATTGCCAATAATGTCATACATGACCTGAACTAGGAATGTCTATATTTTCAGTCTATGCCATAGTTAAGCATGGCAATCAGCTGTATGCAGTGTACAAACAATGTGGGCCATCATCTGACTGAAACACAGTTTGTCTCAAACTATTCAGATATTATCTATGACGTGGCCTGGGACAACCGATCCTCTGCTCCCGAGCCAGACTGTATACACTACGCCAAGGAGGCAGCCTCGTGAAGTGTTGACGGTGAGAGAGACGAAGGCTACCTACCTACTGTTCCATTGCTACACTTTGAGCTATCCAAGCACACGTTCCCCTCCTTGATGTTCCATCCGTAGTTCCTCCCACTGTGGATGAGATTGATCTCTTCATAAGCTCGCTCTCCTGGATCGCCACAGAATATACGCCGCTCACCTGCGAGAAGTGAAGTGACATAAAGTTAATTAAGAAAGAGAACCACCAGATAACCTGTACATCACTGACAGCCCCAGGGTAGACTGGGTACAGGACCACTCCCCTGTATATAACTGACACACCCGGGGAAATCTAGGCCACAAGTCCACTCCCCCCAAAAGACTAATACCTCCACGGAATGCTAGCGCACATGTCCACTCCCCCTAAAAGACTAACACCTCCACGGAATGCTAGGGCACAGCTCCACTCCCCTCTAAAAGACTAACACCTCCATGGAATGCTAGGGCACAGGTCCCCTCCCCTCTAAAAGACTAACACCTCCACGGAATGCTAGGGCACATATCCACCCCCACAAAAGACTAACACCTCCACGGAATGCTAGGGTACAGGTCGACGTCACTGACACACACGATAAAACCTAGGGTGCAAGTCCACTCCCCTCTACAACACTGACACATGTGGGGAAAGCTAGGGTTCAAGTCCAGATCCTCTTTATCACTGGCACCCCCGAGAAAAAGCTGGGGTACAGGTCCACATCCAATGATATCACTGACACACCCTGGAGGAAACATTGGGCACATGTCTGCTCCCCTCTACATCACTGGCACTACCCGGGAAAGCTTGGGTATAGGTCCACATGACCGTATAACACTGACACATCGGGGAAAGCTAGGGTATAGGTCCACATGACCGTATAACACTGACAAATCGGGGAAAGCGAGGATGCAGGTCCACGTCCCCTGTTCGTGCTTCAGAGATTAAAAAAATTGACACAAGCCTTTATGACAAGGAAATTACTTCAACTTTCCAATGGTCAACTTTTCCTTCATGTCGAGCAATATTCCAGCAGATGCAGCTTTTGGTGTATACATTTCACATCTTTGGAAGTACAATCGAGCACGCTGTTTCTACCTAGATTTCAAAGAGCATCATACGACTCTTGCTCCAAAGTTGTTTGATCAGTGTTACAACAATTGAGGCCCCTTTCTAAATGTTTTGTGGTAGATAAATGGAGAACATTTCTAAATTTTACACATCAGTGACAAAAGTGATGTCCGATGCAACTCCCTATTTTGACTTGTACCATACATAATTTTTCAGATGAACAATTGACTTGCCCTTGCATATGTTCTTTTGGATATCACCGCTGGGATAAGATACGCTCACCTTTTTCGGGAATATCGGGTATCATCACTATTTGATTGTGATTCAAAGACACATGCTCATGATATAGTCAGAATCATACAATCGACTCTGCTTTACGCTTTGAATTTGGAAAGGGTTTTGTCGCTTATATTTATTTGAGTACAGCGATATCATGGCACATGTGATGACTCTGGCATAGCTTATATATCATGATACATGCCACAGATCTGGCGGATGACATTGTGACAAATGTCATAACACTGCTGTAGCAATGTGTTGGTGCAGGACAGGATACCAGGGAGCTCTATGGAGCTTTGTAGTTCTGTTGAATGGATATGGTCATATGTGGAACAGCCGTAAGTTATAGTATTTATGCTTAATCCACGAATCCATGTATTATTCAGCGCTGAATAGAAGTGATAATTTGATTCTATTACGACAACTATCACCATGGCTACTTCTCCGGCAGTGGCAGTGCTCAGATAACATGTTGTTGCCAATGACACCCTGTCAGTTGATGATATCCACATATTTGCGTGTACATGCATTTTCTATGTAACATCAGTCACTATGTTGAAAAGTGTCATGATTGTGTTCTCTGAGTCATCACCATGACGTGATTAACGAAGCATGCGATGTCATAGTACTATTCCAGCAATAAAGTTTGGGTCCGACAATCCAGTGATTGACTGTGCATTAGTAACATTCTATGCCATCGACCAGTCAGTGAGTTGGGTTTTATTCTGCTTTTACCAGGTGACATATTATAACCATGTGATCATGCGTGGATCTTTAGGCACCTCGATAAATGAGTATGAGGAATGGGTTTTTGGACAGACATGCTGCTAATTATATCTTCATCATAGGTACTTCAAATATTGTTGAGCAGGCTGCTTATTTTCTGCATTCTATTCCAGAATCCCCATTTTCTGTACTACAAATTAATAATGATAACAACCCATGACGTATCGTTGTGTGAGCAAATGTTGTGTTTGGTCAGCAATATTCCAGCTATGTGAGGTGAGGTGAAATGGGGTTTAACGTCGCGTTCAAGATTATTGCACTTATATAGCGACGTGCATGTACGTGTATGTGTTTGTGTCACTGCTTGTACTAGTCCGGACTGATGCCGATTTATAGTGATAGCTCACTGAGATACCATGCCGTAGTTTAACATGAATACCCCACTCAGACACAGTATACTGAACCCGAGCCGACCAGTCCTCGTTTTAGCCCCCTAATGCCGAGCGCCAGACAGGGAAACAACAAGTATCATCTTTTAACGTCTTTTGGTATGACGCGGTCGGGGATCGAACCCCGGACCTTCCGCTCTCCGGGCGGACGCTCTACCACTAGACCACGGAGGCGGTCTCCAGCTATGTAACGGTGCCTGTACATAATTGTGTCAATCCAGTAATTGATAGCCTCGCATCCAGGTGACACATTGCAACCATTTGCTCCACGTGGGTCTTTAGGCGGTTCAATCCTGTGGCATCTATTCTGCCTGGAATACTCAGTGTGTATTGTGTAAGTATTGCTTACTATTGTAGAAAAAAAGGTATTTTTTAAAGGGCATTCCTAAAACTTGATAATGCAGATTCATTTTATTCACATGGGTTCCTACTAAGTGACCCTTCACACAACAGGGGGCACAGATGGCCGAGTCGTCTAAGGCGCCGCAATTCGCTGAGCAGAGTTGCGTCCCTTGGGCACGCCAGAAACCTATGATTATGAGTTCGAATCCCGGTTCGCCACGATTATGTTTCTAGGTTTGTCAGGACCATACCCATGCTCGTGGGTTTCACTGAGGTAGTAAACGTCTGAGGCCTGCATCACTTCGTGCTTTCCTCCCACATTAAGCTGTCACCCCGCGATATAACTGGAATACTGTTAAAAGCAGTGTTAAACCCTACTCACTCACTCACCTCACACAACACTCACCATTTCTGTTAGCAACTGTGTCTTGGCTACATCGCCACATATTACGACATCCGTATGCAAACACCTCCTGTCTCCATGGTGTCTTGTCCAAAAACGGATTGCTTGCGGGAATGCCGTACCGGAGCGCTGAGCTGCCCACAAAACCCGGTTCAACCACATCAACTCTCAATATCTTCCCGAGAAGGCTGGTTCTGTATGGGAGAGTGAGCTGGGTTTAGTGCCGCCTTCAACAACTTTCCCTTGTATCTCACAGAATGTAGGTGTAGGTCTTGTGTGGCTGTTGTGAGTCTATGTTAGAGAATACTTGTTCCGATCAGCTTAGTGTTTTAACTGTGGTATGTCTTTGTTAAACTATACGTTATTACCAGTTTAGTAAAACCTATGCACGAGTATGGTGCTGACACAGATAGAAGCATAAACAGGGCGAACCGGGATTCGAACTAGCGAGCAGAGGCTTCTTGTATGCCCAAGGAACTCAACTCTGTACAACGACTTCCAGGGCCTCGTTCCGATCTCAGCACTAAGACTGTTATAAGTCTATGTTAAAGACTACACGCTACGATTGCAAAACATACGAGTTTAGATTGTCTTATCGCTGTGACTGTCATAAGTCTGTGCGAATGAATACGAGTTATTACCGTCTTAGCACTACGACTGTCGTAACTCCATGTACATGACCTTGTCCTTTACTTTTGACCTTATAGGTCATTATAGGTGACACTATTCCAGATTGGTTACAGCTTTTCGTTACATAGTCTTTATCTTGAAGGTAATGTCGATCACTGTCAATTAACTATCCCGATATACAAAATATCACTGTACCAGATTGAATCGTTGTTTTAGTTTTGGAAAACTTACCTGTCCGCCATTCCCAGCATTTGTTAATTGTTCCATCCTCAGCAGAATCTGCTCTGTGACGGGTACTGCGATATCGTTAACGACGGTAAACTCCTTGACATGGGAGAACTGAACGCCCGAACTGATGCCAATATAATACACGTACAGTTTACCATTTTCGTTATAATGAGGATGCAGGGTAAAACCAAGTAAACCTCTTTGATCAGCTAGAGTGTCTGTTAAAACAACCCTGTTGAAATATTCAACAAAACACCTCCTTTCTTGTCACGTGTTTCAAAATATCGCACAATCCCGCGTTGTTCAGGGATATAGTACCTCTTGTCCCGGAATTCAATATGGATTGGATTATATAACTGCGAGGTTTCATTCTTGAGACAGACACACGTCTGCGAGGCTGCCACGAAACCAGGGAGTGACATCAAGTAAAGTGAGAGGCACCATATGGTAACAACCCAGAGCACATGGCGGGAAGACATGGCGGCACACTGCTTCCTGTGACACAGGTGCAAATACACCCACTCAGCAGGCTGTGTAGGGTAGATCACAGGACAACTGAAATACCCAAAGACGAGGACTGATTAAATAATTGCAGTAACGTGCTTATCGATTTTCGTCTTTATGTCACGCCTAGGCTGCCTGTATGTTACCAGTGGTGTGATTGCTTGAAGTGCGTTTTCCTGGGGAACCTTAGGTTATACTCTGGAGTCACTTGAGTCGGGGTACGTGCGATCAGCTTATCTCAGGGCATAAATATCTATTCTGAGCTGTCGGGTGTCTTTATATTGAGTAAGTGTCCTGTGTTTTTGATCACATTTTACTACTGTGCAATACTCATAAGACTCCGACTGCGATATAGGTATTATCTACACTATTAAAAATGTTTACGACAAAAAGCGTATCTTTGGGCATTATGTCAAATATCGATAAGATGTTTAATTAACTTAAATTTTACAACAAATCACATCAACATATCAAATTCATAATTATTGGACAAAGCTATTGTTAAAAAACATAAAGGGAGGTTAGTGTTGTATTGGCTGTTTTGATTATGAATACGGAAGGTATTATGTGGCTTGAATTTAGCTGAAGGCATGTCGCAGCCACACGGGCATTATAAGAAATAATAAGTGGACAAGACGTTAGTATGATAGGTCAAGAAGCAATGCTTGTCCACATCGCAAGCAGTTATTCTTATGCATACAAATAGTTACATTACATCAGAAATAGATATATGTACAGGGTCTATTTCACAACTATTTAATATTCAGTTACTTTAGAGAAGTCTCAAGAATAAATATAAATGTTTGTACACCTATTTAATTTCAATGTAGATTTTACGACATTGTGCTGGTTGTGTTCGCTGCTCCCACCAAACTTTCTAATCCAGAATATTTTCATTGTATTCCCAATGTTCTGTTGGATAGTCTCAGCACAGTCAGAAACAAAGCTAAAACTGGTGAAAAGTCTTGTTTTGCCACCAATTTGATAAAATATATACCCCTGACAATACTGGACTGCAAGTTTCACACGCTCAGACGCTAAACAGACTTTTAGATGCAAACACAACCATAAACATGTTAAGCGACGGATGAGTGTCTTAAAAAACTGGACCTACACAGGATAAAGGTCAAGAAGTAGCCGTGAAACATTGTGTATGTATAAGAAAGAAGAGTCCTTGTCGTGGCAGAGACATTTTGTAAAGTGGAGTCAGTAGATAACCAACCAAACAGCCAGTGTGGATTCTTGGTCAGAACAGGGCCCTAGAACCTCATGTTGTAAGGGACAACTAACTGGGTTCAGGTGGTAAGACTTTGTGACCTGGCTGAATGTGCGAATCAAAGAAATAATAATGAAACAGTTATAGGCTTACAATCATAATGAAGATTACGGTTGGTCCTATAATCGGCAGCAACAATAAATAATATATGTCAGTGCTCTCATGAATGGCTAGAATTTGTCACTGTCAAGTGTCTTAGGGCTTCCAAACAGTTTTATGGTGCACATCTGGGGGACATTTCCAAATTTGAAGGATTGAGAAGGTTGCATATGTCGAGCCCAAAGGACATGGCAATATCATTAGAAATGGACTCGACAAGGAGAATCTGGTTTTGTTAGTGTTGATTCTCCTTTAGCAAATAGTTCAAGGCCATCCATGCTGAGGTGGTCAAGGATGATAGCCTTCCTCTTTGCTGAGCAAAACGCTTAATGGATTTAGTGACAAACAGAAAAGCAAAGGGCCAAAAGAATCGCCCTGAAATATTCCTCTTCTGATAGAAATGGGTTCCAAAGTCACCACCTGCCCCTGCGAATACATCTCAAGTTGAGATGACCAGCAGTTCATTAAAAACTTTGGAGGTCAATACATTCCAGTGACTTCAAAATTAATTCGTGAGGTACAGAATCATAAGCTTTTCTGTAGTCTATCCAACACATTGACTTAGCCTCTTCAAGGATCATTTTCTGAATTGGCAATTGATCCGTACAACCCAAGCACCCCTTTTTGCTCCTTTCTCTTCCATGTTAATAATGTCATTGGAAGTGTGGTATGATGAAACAAGGACTGTAAAACACCCTGTAAATATTTTGTACTATTCAGACAAGTAATAGGGTGGAAGTTTTTAGGGTAAGTCAAATCACCTTTCTTTCGGAGACGTATTGTTTGACCTTTGCACAACCAAGGTGGAACAATGTATCCACACGATAATTTTAACAGTGAAGTACCACTGTGTTCTTCTGGACACTGTCCAGTGACTGACAGAATGGCCAGTGTCAGTAGCCGCTGATGATATCATTGTGAGAAACCGATTCCACCGAAGGAGGATACCCAAGTATCGGTCTTCCTGTGTGATTGTGACCAGGGTGCCGTTGTACAAAACAACCTTAGAGCTACGACTGTCGTAACTCTATGTTAAGGTATGGGCGTTACGGTCACCTTTGCGCTAAGATCGCTTTGTACAATGGTACCCAGGTGGTCTGCAACTCCAAGGTCTGTCTCCCATCCACCAAATCTGCCACTAATGGGCCATGAGATGGGTGGCTAGCGTTTTGCTACAACCATAACTCCTTGCGATGTGGACAAGCATTGCTTCTTGACGTATCAAACTAACGTCTTGTTCACTCTGTTGTAGCCTTCATCTTGACATGTCATTTATCACTGTCCAAAAGTTTGGGTATGAATCAACAGTTCATCATTCCTGTCATACCCTTATCTTTATGTGCTGGCATTCTGCACGTGCAGCAACATTTTCTCTTCAAACTCAGTTATCAAATATCTAATCACTATATTCCTAGATCCGTGTGCAGACCTCTGTCACCAGTCATTGTTAACTTACTCTACAACAGTGACTGTGTGTAGACCCCTGTGACCAGTCCTTCTTATCTTACTCTACAACAGATGTGTGTAGACCCCTGTGACCAGTCCTCATTAACTTACTCTACAACAAATGTGTGTAGACCCCTGTGACCAGTCCTCATTAACTTACTCTACAACAGTTACTGTGTGTAGACCCCTGTGACCAGTCCTCATTAACTTACTCTACAACAAATGTGTGTAGACCCCTGTGACCAGTCCTCATTAACTTACTCTACAACAGTTACTGTGTGTAGACCCCTGTGACCAGTCCTTCTTATCTTACTCTACAACAGATGTGTGTAGACCCCTGTGACCAGTCCTCATTAACTTACTCTACAACAAATGTGTGTAGACCCCTGTGACCAGTCCTCATTAACTTACTCTACAACAGATGTGTGTAGACCCCTGTGACCAGTCCTTCTTATCTTACTCTACAACAGATAATGTGTGTAGACCCCTGTGACCAGTCCTCATTTACTTACTCTACAACAGATGTGTGTAGACCCCTGTGACCAGTCCTCATTAACTTACTCTACAACAGTTACTGTGTGTTATCAAATGATGACCTGTCACGTCAAAAGAGAAAACCAATATCTGTGAAATTAGGTATGATGATATGACAGGCTCAGGCCATAATATTTACTTCATCGTATTAATCTCTGATTTGAGTTATCAAGGAGGGTTTTCAATAATAGCTTGGTTTGTTTAGTGTCTGATAGCCCTTTTCGAACTTAATCTTGTTCAGTCCTAGTAGGAACAATGTCATTTTCACGGAGATATAGAGATTACTACACGAGTGTCTGTCAGATACTATTGATCTTACAACGAGTTGTTTCAAGACGTATCTAACGAGCGAAAGCGAGTTAGATACGCTTTGTAACAACGAGTTGTAAGATCAATGGTATCTGACAGGCACGAGTGCAGTAATCTGTTTCTTACACACCCTAAAATTGCACCTTTTTAGCATCGAACCGATGAATTTTGTCTATTCTCAAGATTGCAGTAGCGCATTAATACATGACACCACTGTCATATGTGACGTCATCCTATGTGCTGCTTACTTCTCATAAATAATGTGACAATACACAAAAAGGTTTCCGTCATATCTGGATTATCAAGGCGATGTTGAAAATGTAAAGCAGACAAAAACAAAGAACACGCTGGGTGCCAAGTTGAAAGTTTACACCTCAAAGAAATTACCAAATATGTACAACAATGTTTACTTCAGTATGACATCACTACTGATGACCGAATTTTACAAAATGGCATGTTCGCTGACAACAGTACGCGGGATTTCCAGAGGAGGATTTTCGTTGATTGAGGGATCGTATGCACATAAATGTTTCATGTAAGTAATCAGAAACATTCTGACAATCTGCGTACTGTTATTTGTTTACCATGTTTTCCAATGTAACAAAGAGAATTAATCAGAAATGCAGATAACTACCGTCATCGTTGTGTATGATTTCGCGTCAGTCATGGCGTCACACAGGACGGAAACTTTTACGTCTTCTGTTGAATTTACCACATCATTGTAATGTGTATATGTGTATTTCCATAATTAGTGCAACGATACTCTTCCCATGAATAGTCTCAAACGCTTGATCGAGCCAATGTATGCAACAATTAGACGAAAGTACCCCTAAAAATGCTACACAGTGTAAAATATGAATTTTGCTTTGTTTACAATTTAGAAGTAGGGGCCTACAGTTTTTCGAGCACAGTTTTGCGTTTCCATACCTAATTTATTTCGCATGATTTCATCTAGATAATTCGCATTGGTGACAAAGACCATTTATCCATTGTTTCGAAAATGTATGAGGAATTCAGGCCTAGGGATACGTGTATAGCAGCTGAGTTTGAAATATACCTGATCGAATATAGGCGTCTCATAACCGGCATTTTGTAAACACAATCAAATCCAATATGGCGGAACGTACACTTCGGCGTTCGTGTATGCGTATTTTCCAACATTCTAAACGATCCTCGGCTTATCAGCGACATTTCAGAATTATCATTAGTGATTTGATACCCGTGATCGCTAATATGCTATTTTTCTGTGGCGAGGTTTTCAATGTATCTAATTTTCAGAAGTCACTTTCAGTAATTTTGAATTGCCTAAAATGACAGTAAATGATAAACAGAAGAAGAATTCCAAACTGTGCACATAAAGTGTATTAGTCTGCGTGATGTATTTTGAATTAAGTCGATTTAGAAGTGAGGGTTGAAGAGAAGGGACATATGTGTCGCTGTGGCATCCAGGGGGTTACACTCTGAAAAATCGATAACGTTGACATAACAACAGATAATGTAACTGATAATAATACCAAACAAACTCGCAGAGGAGGACGAGTTTGTTATTTTTTATTATTAATTACACGGTCCTGTTGTTCACGACAGGCGTAGGTGAACATTCGACTGAAGCACGAGCACTTATGAATGACTTACACTCAGGAAAGTAGTCCGTCATCATCTGACCTCAGATCATCACCATGGAGTAGCCAATCACGGGCCTGGAATTCGATCTCACACATATATGTTTGATACCAGTTATCTCAAATGGGTTACTCACCCACAGGTGTTTAAGAAATTACTTTGGTCTTTACCATGGTCTCTATTGTAAAATATTGCAATCCAATGTGTCTACTCCCAAGAGCTTATGTTAGAAACACCAGGACCGAAGACGTTAAATAAGAAAGGATATCCATACAACTTTGTAAACCTCGGGATCCTTCGTCAACCGACCTCAAGTTAGGTATGTTTTATTATCTAGTATATTTGGAGAGCCATCGAGCAACATAAGCATACACTTCATCGATCTGGCGGGCACATTGATATTGACGTTCCATTGGGTGTCACTTTCGTACATGTGAATCATTTTCTGTCACACTAGATGATCACTTGGGATGGCTATACGCTCAGTGCTCTGACATGGATTTGTCCTGCCAGCTCAGAGTTTGTGGGGGGGGAGCAATCTGCGTATTTGTGAGACAAGATCCCCCTTACCCCTGATACACTGCCCCACTGTGACGTAAGGATGTTCCATACACCCTTGAGAGGGGGTTGTGACATGATGTGGACCCGTATTTATCAGATCATAACCTTATAACATATTTACAAATAACTACGCAGACATTCTTTCTAAGACATAAAGGTATATCTATAGGTAGTGTGTAAAATGTGTATTGAGTCCAAATATGTATTCTTAACAACAAAAAGTTCCTGTGACACCAATATTTTAGTGTATTTTTCAAACAAGTAAAGTTTGGTTTTCAATATTGTAGTACATGTATTGAATCAAGAAAAGAGAATCACAAAAACGCAACTGCTAGAGAAAAGCAAGCATTCCATGCAAAAGTTGACTTTTATGCAAGCCCCATGCATTTCACTACTCCAGGATGGGTATAAAAACATGTGCGCTAACGGGATACCTTATGCATTTTTTAGCATCGTGCTGACAACAACCATTCAGAAAAACAACAAAATTAACATTAATCAACATTACGAAATGCCACGCCTGTCCGAAAATGAGCGTCTGCTAGCCATTGGTTTGCTTGAAGCAGGGTCGAGTCAACGTGTGGGATGAGATGGATTGCAACCAGAGGTGGACACAGGCGCTATTGATTTGTAAATTGACATTTTGACATGTTCATGTTTTTTATGAAATCACGCATTTTCTGAAGTCAGTAAGGCAAATTAAACCATTTGAAGACTTACAGGAGTCTTTTATCTGTTGCAAACCGAAATTGTTTCAGATTTGGTAAAAAACATAACTTTGCATAAAATCTTATTCAATGTCACCATGGGTACAATGTGTGAAGCCCATTTCTGGTGTCCCCCGCCGTGATATTGCTGGAATATTGCTAAAAGCGGCATAAACCTCACTCACTCACTCACTATTCAATGTCACAGGAACTTTGGCATGTAACATATATAAATTGAGAACATATCGGTTCTTCTTCATGAAGGCGAGTTCCAGAGGTCATATTCACTACTGACACGTTGTTGTCCGGCCAGGTGCTCGGTTCATGGTCGAAAACCAACGTGGGTGCATGGTGGATGGCTACTGACGTCGGGGAATAGTGAGAATTGGAGAGAGACAAAACCAGGGGTGGGACGTTAGTGTTGGCTATTTTTAAACAAATTGAGTCGTTCCCTGACGAAAGGCATAATATGACTGATGAGGTGAATCTAGTTTACCCCGGGCTAGTAGCTGTGCTCGTAGCATAACGATTGTGCGATTCATGGCGAATGGCAGGCAGCCAAATCAAAATCAATATTCCCAACACCCCGATATTCAGGTATGTGAACGGCAACGGATCTGGCAATTGTTCAAGCGGGTAGGGAAAGTTTTATTGTTTGTGTGAATTGAGCAGGTGCAATACATAGGCGATGTACACGCCTGTTGGTCACTTGAAGGGGATATTTTTTAACATTTTGCAGTACGACTGTGCCCGATTGCAGTCCGATACTTCAGGTTCTGGTAACGTCACAAGCTGGATGTACATCGACAATGGTGTAGTACATCGAGGTAGAACATTGTGGCATCTGTATATCAAAGTTGGAAGTTAGGGTGATTGGCATGTAACTGAGCTGTCGTAGATTTAATTATTGATACTAGGGTCAGTAATGAACAATATTTGGGGACAGTCGACCTCGTAATAACTTGAATATGCCTGCTATTAGTGTCTGGTATTTGTGCGTGCGCTAGGGGGGCTAACTGGTTTTCTCTGCCTACCATAAGGAGTAGTGGAAAATAATTTCTCATTCTATTTAGCCTGTCTGAATGATTTGGTTGTGGTTATGTTTGATGGCTTTGATTATATTGTTTGTTGGGATATTTGTTGTGTCATGTAAGATACCATTTGGTGTTGTGATGTGTTGAAGCAGACGTTGCGTATGTGTACTTATGATGTGAGGAGTTTAATCGGGTCTGTCTGTTTAATAAATTTGAGGTCACATTCTGTGGCGAGACTGAATGCTGCCTTGGCTAACTGACCATATCGAGGAAGCAAACTGCGTGTTTGGCATGTTTTATTATTAATTTCTGGTTTGTCAGGAATGAGTGTGTTTGTTAATTTGAATGTGTTCTGTGTTTGATTGCGAATGTAATTTTAGCACAAACGTTAGGATGAAGCTTACATAGAAGAGTGTGTTTTTGCATGTTGTGTTTTCCTTATGAAGGAATGATGGCATTTCCTATGATCTGTTGGAGAGGTAGGGTTACGGTAATTCTGAGGCAAACGTGTGGGTCAAGGATTCATCGAATGCCGTGAGCTTCCCTCTTTCTGAGAATAGGGTCTCGTAGTGTAGAAGGCCATGGTCCTGACCCCGTGCACTACAGATTATGGTCAGCAGCAACCACACCTGCAAGTGCATCATTCTGCATCAACATGTAGATAAGTCTAAGCAACGTAAGAGTCAAACAAACATCTGACCAGGTTTAATGTGTAGCACAACAAGGTATAGGCCGATCATAGTTTGTTGATCATAGTCAGTCTTTTTGTGCTCTATAAATTCATGCTCAATTTACTACACTACTAAACACATCCTTTGTCTTGACTACACTCCTACGCACATCACCTGTATCCAACTTCTCCTGACGTCATCTTCAACTACACAATAATTCCTTAGGTAAGTGGGCTCTATACTTAAAACTGACATTGTCAGTGTTCCTCGAATGTATCACTGTAAACGGTCTGAATGATAGCATCCCTAGCAACGAGGCCAGAATGCAGCATTAGAATTATCAGCTCACACAGACATGGTTGGCACATCAGAAATAACAATGAAAATGCAACTGATCAGAATTGTTGACACTATTAGTTCTGGCGAAACTGAAACTTTTAAGCATGTGTGTGTGTGTTAGTGTGTGTGTGTGTATATGTTATAATAATATGTAATAAAAACAAACAAACATAATAATAATAAAATAAATAATAATAATAATAATAATAATAATAATAATAATAATAATAATAATGTTTTATAAAACAGCACAATGAATACACATATTTTATTTCAGATTCCTGACTGAAGAAGGTTGTGTTTGAGCTTATGGAGTATCCGAAACTTGCTCTATCTGAATTCCTGTTTTGTTTTCATTTAACGAACATTTTGAAAAGCTTATTTAAAAAAATCTTTCTTACGGAGGCAGATGCAGGAATATATCACGCTATCCATTTATTACAATTTTGGGAAAAGCGTGGTGTAAAAGTGACCTACACACATGATCTAGACATTCTTAAGGCACCTCTGCAAACATATACTTGATATTCGGGGGGATAGGAGGGGCTGGGATTTTGTATCATGATTAGTTTGTTTTCTTCAGCCACAGCCACACAACCAGGTGTATAACAACTGGTCTGTCACTGCAATATATAAAACTATATATGTTGTCATAGTTATTGACATGGACAACGTCCTGTATTGGTTGTATAATCGTCCATGTATATGTGAAGAAACATACGTTGTCGCAACGTTTTTATAAAAACGTTTTAACAACGTAAGAAAAAGACGTCGAGACATCGTTCTGCATTGATTATATTTTGGTTTACAGACAAAATTGTATCAACAAATCTGGGAATCTAAAGATTTACGTTGTGACAAAATAGCCTCAAAATAGTGTAGCAACGAAAATACAACGTTGTAACAACGTAGAACTGTTTGCTGGGATCTCATTTAGCCTAAAGTACTAAATGTACTTCCTGCTAGGTGACCTCATTTGCACGCTTATCGAATCGTGATACCACGTTTATCGTGTTGGTTTATCACATCAACGTCACTGTCTGGCATCTGACAACCGTGGTATGTAATGTCCCCATGGTGTAATCAATAGCCTGTGTGTGGGTAGGAGTAGCACAAACTCATGTAATACGTCTTTCTCCAAATATTTATCAGGTTTAGAGATGACTTTTCCTAAACGTTGCTGTGGGAAGCATAAAATGGGGACCGGGTATCTGATTAGCTGGTTAGGTCCGCGGAACACTCATTCCAACACTAGGGTCGTCTCAGTACGATATGACCTCGACCACCACATGACTGTCACATGACCAAGGAGTCGTGAACCTGATTTGATTTATTTTGACTTGTTTCCTTGCTTATAAACAAACCTGTCTCAGCCCGCATTGCGTCACTTCGTCACAACGTCGCGGGTGGAGAGACGGGTGTCAGGACCCAAGGTAAGTTGAAGTGTTACACTAAAACAGAGATATAAAGCATTCATCTGGTACACACAAGAGTTCCTCCCACAGAAATAATCTCCCACTGCCTTGAAAAACAGTAAATTTCTCCGCTTTTTATCGTAAACCCTGTGTAAAGTACTGTGCGACGATTTTTTTAATTTACAAACTTTACGGAATCTGTGAGCGAACAAAATACTGCCTAATATCTGAACGACATAACTATATTCCAAATGGAGTTATACGCGTATGTATTACGACAAACATGCAATGCCAAAAATAGCTTGCCGTAAATGACCCAAACTGATTTTTCTCTATGACGTCAAAAGGCGACAGAGAGGTTACACACGTACAAAGAAAAGGGGCATAACTACGCTAAGCTGAGCACTAGTTAATTGTTACTCAGGTCACTTGATGAGAATTAGCTGTGGGTAAGGATAATATATTTTCGTGGGGTTTTGTTCACGAGGAACCAAACTATTCCAACACAAATATCGATAAAGAAACTGTATACGTTTAGTTGTAAAAAAAACCCCATAAGAAATTATGAAATCGTGCTTCATAAAAAAAGAGAAAAAATGGGTGGACCTATATAACCTATAACTTAGTCCTCAGATTCCAACATTCTCCTGAATGTGTAAGTGTAATTTGACTAATGTTGCATCATTATTAATGGAGCAGTAGCCTTATCATCAAATGTAATGAAAGACCCCAAAAAATTAACACCGTTCTATTTGACGTCATGGCTGGTTTTATGTCTTTCATAACGTCGGAGAAAGATGACTGGTATTTTGATTAATATATATATCCCCAAATTTTCGTTCATGATATGGAAAATCTCGATGTGTGAAACGGAATTTGACGCTTTTTCGACACAACATAAAATGACTGCTTTCACCAATTAAATAATGTCTTGAATATGTAAACAATTAGCTAGTTTATCGTGTGTCTTAATTGGACAAGACACGCACCTGTTTGGCATCAATTTACATAATGAAATACCCCAAAGAATATTTCAAAACATCCAAATTATATTCAATATTGGACAGATATTGTTATTATTTCTCTTCACCTTGTCTCAGAATTACACACTAAAAGATGCGAAGAATTATCAGGATAATTGTATATACGGTTGAACCAACAGCTAGGGTACTTGGCATAGGTTTTAATTTTATACATTTTACAATTCCTGGAGAAATAAAGTGAACAGTTTAATATCCTGTGATCACAATATTAAAAAAAGAATGAACCCATTGATTATATAATGCAAAACGAGAGGAATAATTCGTAAATTGTTTGTGGCTAACACGCACCTGGCGAATCGTTAGATATCACGGCTCTGTGTATCAAACGACAAAAAAAAAAAAAATTCCCAGACCAAGACAATTCTTTCAGAAATGTGTGCATATCTTTTTACGAAAAATATTATCCATTTTGTTAAAGTAATATAGATCTATTCAGTTTTAGTTATAAAATAAAATGAAACAGCTATTCAAAGACATTGGTTATATGAACTTATGATATTGACTATTACACATTCCAAGAAATACGTACATGCTGCAGTTACCTTTACGCTTCATCTTGTAACACTTGTCCAAAGGAAAGAAATATATGATTCGACAATAAAAACCTATCAATTTTAATGTAAACAATGTTCAAACAAACAGGAGATTATCAAAGGTTCGTTGGTCGCTATATGGCTGAAATAATGCCGATGCGACGTTAAATTTTAACTCACTCACTCACTCAAAGGTTCGTTCATACATGTTGTGGCTTATATTTGCGTATGATATCATTTTGAACATTGACAAATATCCAAAGGGAAATTAATTGTGTGAAAAATTGTATATAACATATGCAAAATCTACATCATTACTGACACTGTGAACAGCATGATACAATGATCGCGTGCACTCTCATCCAAGGACCTTCACCTCAAAGAAATTACCAAATATGTACAACAATGTTGACGTATGACATCACTACCTGTGACCGACTTTTACAAAATGGCGTGTTCACTGTCAACAGTACGCGGGATTTTCCGAGAGGACTTTCGTTGATTCAGGGATCGCATATACATAAATGTGACATGTAAGAAATCAGAAACATTCTGACAATCTATGTACTGTTATTTGTTGTTATAATTTTCATTGAAAAGAACCGAAATAGTAAGAAATTCCGATAAATACCGTTGTCGTTGTGCGTGATTTTGCGTCAGTCATGGCGTCACACAGGACGGTAACTTAGACAATTTCTGTTGAAAATATCAAATAATTGCAATGTATCTATTTTAAATTCCCTATTTTTTCCTACTATTCGCTTCCTGTGCATATTCTGAAAATGTTGAGCCAATGTCTTGAAAGAACAGACGAATGGATAGCTCAAAATAGGAGAAAATTCTACACTGTGTAAAATCTGTATTTTGCTTTGTTTACATTTCAAACAAGTGCAGTTTTTCGAGTACAGCGTTCGTTTTCACACCTAACATATTTTGCTTGATTTCATCCATCCACTTTGTATTGGTGACAAAGACCATTGGTCATTTGATTCTAACATGTATGAAGAATTCAAGGATGTGTGTATGGCAGCTAAGTTTGAAATATACGCGATGTTACAGGCGCCTCATAACCGGTGTACCTGAAACGTGATTTTGTAAACACTAGCAAATATGGCGGAAAGTTCACTTCGGCGTTCGTGTTTGCGTATTTTCCAAAACATTCGAAACGATTCTCTGGTTATCGGAGACGTTTTGGAATGATCATTGGTGATTTCATAAAAGACAGATACCCGTGATCACTAATATGCTATTTTTGAAATTCATTTCTCCGAGTAAATATCCTAAATTTAGATTTCAAAACATGCTGTAAATAACGCCGTGAGTGGTGATTCAGTAATGTGTAAAAAATGGCGACATTTACGATGTACCTAATTTTCAGAGGTCATTTTCAGTACTTTTGCTTGGCCTAAAATGCTAGTGGATGATATCACAGAACAGGAAATTTCCCACCTTATTCAAAACTGTGAAGTCTATTTGTGTGGCTATTTATTCGACTTCAAAGCGGGGGTTGAAGAGGAGGGACATATATGTCCCTCTGGCATCCAGGGGGTTAAGCGTTCGCTCGTCACGCCGAAGACCCGGGTTGATTCCCGACAAGGGTACAATGTGTGAAGCCCATTTCTGGTGTCCCCCGCTGTGTTATTGCTGGAATATTGCTAAAAGCGGCGTAAAATCAAACTCACTCACTCACTAGTTTGTAAAAATTGACTATTGCCACTGTTTCTTCATGGAATGTGACGGAATACATACCTCATCTAAAACGTCTTTGTTGTATGATAGTTTCCTATAGTTGTGTACGGGGGCACGGTTTGGCTCAATCGCCTGAGGCGCTGCAATTGGCTATGCAGAGTTGTGTCCCATGACAGTGTGTTTGAATCCCGGTTCGCCGTCAGCACAAACCTGTGCTCATGGGTTTCACCAAAGTCCTTAACGTCTAAGACCTGCATCACTTCGTGCTTTCCTCTCCGGTTTAGATTTGCTTATGTTTAGAAGAATGTAACCATGTTCAACCTAAACATCGGAATATATCATGCAACCGTATTATGTATAACAAAATTAAATGCAAACTACAGACCAGCATGTTGACTTCCTATGTATCTAGAAGCAACGAACATATACGGCTGTATAATCTCTGCTGAGATACCAAAAAATGTCAAAGCAATAAACAATGCGGAACCGTATACCGCCGCATGAAACGGTATGAATCATACATTGCATACAGTGAACTACTTGAAACAATACTGTGCTCAACTCTGCACAGCAAGCGCCATACATGTGATTATGAAGACAACTAATTACAAATTTCTGATATCAAACCCGTTGTTTTACATGTGTTTTTGATTGAACAAAGTACAACTTTATAGAAGCCTTGTATTTAATCGTGTTGAACAATAAGTTGCAATAGCAACTTAAGATTGAGTGCGGGTTACAGGCTTGACCTAAATTCGTACCTGGAAGCTTTCTCGCTGACTGCCTAGATAACATAAACCGTGTTCGTTGTTTCACCAGAGTGGTGAACGTCTAAGGCCTGCATCACTTCGGGCTTTCCTCCACCAAGCTGAAACGCCGTGATACAAGTGGAATACTATACAAAACGGCGTTAAACGAAACTCCCTCACTCACTCTTGCGTACGGTTCCGTTTGATTAACTGGGCTTGTGTTACACGCTTGACCTAAGCTCTCTGGATGGCTGCCTGAATAACATAGGATACATTGCAAAGGTCGTGCGCAATAGAGCTGTTCGGAGCAGGGAGATAATAACTCACTCTCAGTGATACAGCTTGAATAAGATACGATGTACAACATAGCAAGGTCAGTGGTGATAAAGCTCTATACTACGCCTACAGCTAAAGGAATTAATCGCTCAATGTGCAATAGCTTATCCCAGAGACCATATAATCGGGGTGTATCAGTTACATGCCAGACCGTAGCGCTGATGGTTTATGATAAACTGTTGGGGAGGGCCGTCCCTCTATTATATGGTCTCTGCTTATCCTTACGAAATATAGACTGGTTAACTTTAGCTAAGTGAGATATATATTTCTAGAGAAACAGTCAAAATTAACCTTATCCTAATACTTCCTGTGTGAATAACAATCACACAAACCTAGTGACCAGAGTTTTAATAGACAGATAAAACAATTTCTGATGTATATTTATAGTTTATAAAGTCAATATGACATATTGCACTTCCATTTTATTTTCAATATTTTCAAATAGTTTACTGTCATATTTTCTCTGTATTTGATTCAACATTTAGCATCACTGATTCAACATGGGATGTAGCGTGGGGTGCTTCCAAAATGTCTGTCTCATCAGTTTGCTTATTATTAAACCGATCGCTTTAAACTGACACTATCGGACCCAAACTTGCCTCTATTCTTTTCGTGTCTCCCATTTGAACATAAGGTTTCTTAAACTTTCCAGATCTTTAAGCGCCGGTCTAAGGTGGCACTATTCGCTGTTCGAATCCTGGTTCACTGTGGTTATGTTTCTAGGTTTATCAGCACCATGCATCACTTCGGGCTTTCCTCCCGCATTAAGCTGACACGCCCAGATAAATACCATACAACCCAGCTTGATAATGGTGTAAGAATCTACATCCAAACGTCACTAAATGCAAGAAACAGAAGTGGTTATTTATAAAGTTGTATGTTTTATTCTTAACTCACAACTTCTGCAGGCGGTCAGGTAGCTTTGTGGTTAAAGTGTTCGCTCGTCACGTTGAAGACCCGGTTTCCATTCCCGACACGGGTACAATGTGTAAAGCCCATTTCTGGTTTCCCCGCTATGATATTGCTGAAATTTGGTTAAAAGCGGCCTAAAACCATACTCACTGACTCACTCACTCACCAACTTCCAGAATGCCAATCAAACAGTTAATTGAAAGACTTTCAAAGGCGCGTTAAGCACAATGCACTAACTCATTTACGCAGGACAGGCAGTACACAGGAACAGGCCTTGCTTTTAACATGCTCAAGTCACTTGTTCAGTGTTAAATATTGAGATGCATTTTACATGTATTATGATTGGTCACTTCTGTCAATGATGTGGGTCAATTAATCATATTGTCATATATACTATCAGATATTTGATATTTCCAAATGTGCACATCACACAATAAATATTTCTTAACATTCAATCACCAGTCCCTAAAATACATGAATGATCTTAAAGAGTATATTTTCCTTTGTTTCAGATGGCAGCCGCCAGAAAGCTGGAGAGTCTGAATGAGAACTTCTTGACCTGTTCCATATGTACGGAGGGATACAAAGACCCCTGTACTCTGACCTGTGGACACACCTTCTGTAAGGGCTGCCTGGGGGAATTCCTGAAGACCAGACAAGACGCCATCAGAGCCAAGTCCATCCCGTGTCCCTACTGTCGTCAGATAAACGGAGTTCCAAGGCCTGACAGACCAGTGGAGGAGTGGGTGAAACAGATTAAGCCCAGTTTCCTCATACAGGGACTTCTGGACACTCTAGCTTGTGGGGGAAATACTGATCATGGTAAGTAAATGTGATCTAGAAAGAAACCGAAAGATGAAAATATTCTTCCCAAGGGCGTAAGATCCCTGGCCGCATGTTACCAAAAGAAGTAAAAGACGGTATTAGTTGGTGCCTGGTGCAGAGATTCAAAGGATAAAAGAGGGACTGGTAGAGTCAGTAAACTGTGTGTGCGTGGGGTATCCATGTTAAACTCCACTATTTCAGTGAGCTGGTACTATAAAACAGGACCGCACGCACGTCGCTTTATAAGTGCAATAAACTTGAAAGCGATGTTATACGTCTATTTTAAATTACTCTGTCGCCCATTCAGTTTCCACTGAAACCAAGAACCCCAACTAGAATATCTTAAAGGAGATGGACTGTGACACTGTCATACAGCAGGTTTGCTTTCCTGAATGACCGAGATAATACCAAACCAGGTTCAGTCTATGCACGTTCATGCGTCATCAAAATGGTGATGGAAAACTGTTTATTGTAGATAAAAGTAATCAAGACGAAACTGAAGGGTCACCTATATTTATCAGGATTATCTAGAATACATCTTTGTCATTTCAGTTTGAAATCTATGCATGTAGATTATCCGAGGGTACTTTCCGGACACTGTGTACGTTGAACCGCACAATGGGCAGAATTAACATTTACGCTTTATTCTCCCTATGTACATTTATATCTTCCATCAAACGTTATCTCGTTATTGTGTTAAACATTGCACGTTTGATGTGACAGGTTTATCCATGACTTGTTCAGATACAGAAAACCGCTGCCATCCCTGCCAGGATCTTGGAGAAAGTCATCCGGCCAACTCCTACTGTCAAGACTGTGATGTGCCGCTCTGTGGGAGATGTGTGAAGATGCATGCATCTCTTCCTGGTACGTCAAACCACGTGATTGCTGGCCTTGGTGGATCAGTGAAGGTGACCAGACGACAGAGGTGCACGGAACACAACGAAGTCATGGATTTCTGCTGCAAAGACTGTAATATAGCAATATGTCCCAAGTGCTGTGTCACATACCACAGGAAATGCGACTCTGTGGTCACTATTCAGTCAATAATGTCTGAGATAAGAAGTGTTCTTACACACAATAAGGGATTGATTACGCAGAGCTTTGACAACAAGGGCAGATCACTTCAACAACACAAATCACAGATTGATGCGATCAGCCACAACAAAGACAAAATAAAGTCACAGATCAGACAGGCCTCACAGAAAGCCATGGACGTGATTATACAGAAGGAGAAACAGCTGCTGGAGGAGCTGAATGAGATGACAGAGAAGCGGTCTGGACAACTGAGGGGGCGGATAAAGTCAGGGGAAATAGACATGCAGATGTATCAACAATATATAGAGTACATCACCCAGGTGTTGAAGTCTGGGAGTGAGACTGACATGTTTGACATTTACCAGATGTGTCAGTCTGGGGCAATCAAGGAGGAAACAGACAGGGATGTCACTTTCACAGACAGCTTTCGTGATTCAAAACTTATATTTGTAAGTGAAATAGATGAGAGGAAATTACACAAGGATGTACAACTTGGTAGAATTCAACAGAACGTTTGTGACGTCATGGATACGCAACTTGGTAAAATTCAGTGTGGCACATTTGACGTCATGTGCAGACCAGTGTTACACAAGACAGTCGGCATTAGGTTCGATGGCGACAGGAAGCAGCCGGATCCATGTGACGTCACAGTCCTGGTTGTGGATGGTGAAGAGACACTGGTGGTCACTGACTGCAACAATACATGTCTGAAATCCTTCTACACAAAGAATAACATATCACGACACAGTAAACTGGATCTTGCAAGTAACCCAACTTCTGTGACGAGGCTGAGGGACAACCAGATGGCTGTATCATTCTGGTCACACAATAATATTGTTATAGTACGGGTGACCCCTGACCTTGTACTACAGTCACGTGTCACAACAAAGAAGATGTACAGATGCCTAACAGCTTTGAGTCCTTCAACATTAGCAGCAGGTTGTTGGGATCCTTCCTGTGTTGATATCCTGGATGTATCGGGGAGAGTGATGAGGTCAGTCAGTAGATTCAACTCTGGGAAGAACCTGATATGTAGCCCCACCTACCTCTCTGCTACAGACATGTGCGACATCCTAGTGTCAGATGCTGGCTCACACTCTGTCTACTGTATCACACAAGGGGGAGATGCTGTGTTCACCTACACCCCTACAGGAGAGAGGGGACTGAGAGGACCAGTAGGTATCACAACTACCAGCACAGGACACATCCTGGTGGCGGACTACAGGGCACACAAGGTGGTACTACTGACACAAGCAGGGAAGTTTGTCAGAGACCTGCTGACTTCACAGGACGGACTACAGAATCCATACGGCTTGATGTTCTGTGACTGTAAACTGTATGTGGGGGAAAATTATGAAGATGCTGTGAAGGTATTCAACTGCAGTATTCCCCAATGAGACAGGAAGCAAAACCTACTCGGATCACGTTGCGGGAAAATATTTATGATGAAAATTCAGAAATATGCCCAGAATTAACAGTTTTTTGTGTGTAAAATACCCCAAACGCCAACCACATTTGAACAAAGATTACAGTGAATGAGTGAATATGATAATACGCTGCTTTTAGCAGTATTCGAGCAATTCCCTTTGCACAACGGGGGCACATTGACCAACCGAACCTGTGACATCGGCAGGACGAGCGCATACACATGACAAGCACATAATGAATTATTGGATTAGTTGTAGGGGCTATTTTCGGTTAAATGATGGGACAAGACAAGAATAAAGCAGGTAGTAGACGTTTACAAGTTTTGAGAAACCCACGAGCACGGAAACGGTGCTGACAAACCTAGAAACTTAATCTTTTACTGGTGCTTGAGACATCCACCTAGGGACTCACTAAGTATGTTTGAATGACTTTAGAAAATGTATGTATTTTACTATGCAGCTACATTTCAAGGTTAGGTGGGTTTTAATATAATCTATATGTTTTAATCATGTTTCAAGAATTGTCTCCTAAGCTTTACCAGACTAGATTTTGTACAGTTTTATTGTTTGAATATAATGTTATATTTTTTTTATGTACAATATGTGACACCATAATAAAATATATCATATCTTATCTTATCTTACATTTACTAATGCCTACATACGTCAGGTATTTGTCAGAGCTGATCCGATAATCACTATCATAAATGTAAAAGTCATATTTCATGTATATTGAATAAACTTGTCAGTGATATACGCGTTTAAATATCCCATTTGTGAGTTTGTTTGTTGTATTACGCCGCACTCAGAACCTTCCAAGCCATATAACAGCGGTCTGTAAATACTCGAGTCTGGAGTCAGTCGGCCTGACCACCCGATTCCGTGGGTCGCCCCTATCGGCAGGCATGCTGAAGACCAGTTCTAACAGGAATCTTCACGGGGTTGATGAGCCCTTGATGAAGTCAAGTTTCACTTTTAACTTTGTACAATGTTTCTTCCATTGTTGTGTGTTTAGCCACATATATCTTCTCTTTCATGATCGCGCTTCGTAATTGAAATTCCATCTGAGTAAGTAAAGAAACATGAATTGTCTCCCTTTGACCACTGTAGTAGTTGATGCCCAATGTTCTTTGAGGCAACACATTTCATATATGTTTCCAGGATATAAAACAGAAAGGATCTTGATTATATATATGTATGTTATCATTTTTCAGCGAAACGTGTTTGAACTGTCAACAAATACCATTCACGACTTGGTTTGACAACAAAAGAAAGGCACTCTAAATGCGGAATTATGTTATACATTAGTAACGGGCTACCTGATATCGATCCTGTAAACCCGACATTCACTCGTGACAAAACAGAAGGCAACTATGCTTGTCGTAGGAGGCGACGAACGGGATCGGGTGGTCAGGCTCTCTGACTTGGTTGATGCATGTCATTGTGGATCGTGGATCAATGCTCATGATGTCAATCACTGGATTGACTGTTCCAGACCCGCTTATTTACAGACTGCCGTCATACAGCTGGAATATTGCTGAGTTGGGCGTTAAACAAGAAACAAAACTCTAGTTTGTGGTGAGGTAGGGAGTCAGTCATGCTTGGTTATAATGGTGACTGAGTGTTACAACGTGTGACACTGACTGTGTGTCATTGCTGCCGTCATCAAAAGTCGAGTGCAAGGATTGCTGTTAATAGAGCCCACGACACACGTGGACCCGTGTTATTGCTGTCAGCCTGTGGTCTGCATGTCCCATGTTCGACTGTTTGTATACAGGCTGGTATCACTGAAATGTTGCTGACTGGGGGACGTCCATGTATCTCCATGTTCCCGCAGAGCTTCTCTGATGATCCCTGTATGATGGCCATACACTATGTATACACGTACAAGTACGAACAATGATATGGTGTTAAATATTGTTGTTTGTGGTCAAACAGGCATATCAATGGCCGCTAGATACATTACTGTCCTGCTCACAATACATCGAATAGCCGCTAAATATACTACTGCCCTGCTCACATCACATCCAATAGCCGCTAGATATATTACTGCCCTGCTCACATCACATCCAATAGCCTACTAGACACATTATTGTGATGCTCACAACACACCCAATAGCCAACTAGATATATTACTGTCATGCTCACAACACATCCAATAACCTACTAGACACATTACTGACCTACTCATAACACATCCAATAGCCTACTAGGCACATTACTGCCCTGCTCACAACACATCCAATATAGACACATTACTGACCTACTCACACCACATCCAATAGCCTACTAGATACATAACAGCCCTGCTCACATCACATCCAATAGCCTACTAGATACATTATTGCCCTACTCACAACACATCTAATAGCCTACTAGATACATACTGAACTACTCACAACACATCCAATAGCCTACTAGATACATACTGAACTACTCACAACACATCCAATAGCCTACTAGATACATTACTGAACTACTCACAACACATGCAATGCCTGACATATCATGGGTATGCAATTGCTGATATCAAGTGTCACCAAGAAATGTATTACAAAAATGCAAGAAGTTATAATTTTAATGAAGAACAAAGCATGACAATTGTAAAATAGAGTTGTCAAATAAAAACGCATAGTGCTTTTGACTTGAAGCTGTTCCTCATTGAATAATAAATGAATGATTCTTCATGATATTAAAATATGCGAAGAACGTGTTATGCCTCGTCGCTGAGTGGATATCCAAAAGGTTGATCCACGATGAGGTGATACCACCGGCGAATGAGGAGTCGGACGCAAATGTGATAACACAGCGCCAACATCACTGGCAAAACCGTGCCAATATTGAAGAGGGGTCATGTTGAAGAATAAATAATTTTATTGTCCTTGTGTCATTTCTTTCACCCCTCGTTACAAACACATACAAAGCTTCGAACTATCTAAATAAAAACTTAATTTCTTTTGTCACGGTGCTTCACCTCACTTTTCCGTCCACGTATCATGAAGTGTATTACTACACTCAGAAAAGTCTCCACAGAGTGATGCACCTCAAAGTCTGCCCGCGTCTTGAGCCACACTACCTGATACATGCCGATATCAACCACTTGTAAACATCCGTGCCTACGTTCTGTGAATATACAAGTTCTTCATGGTTACCCCAGAACAACACTCGAACCTTGCACTTTGTGACACATTCCTGACCAAACATATTCCAATATAAGAATGCAGAACCCTGGTGTGTCGAGGTCTGCATATGACGTACAGTTCCCGTTACCAAACATCTTCATTTATAAGAGTTACATAAGTTCGGATTACGATCTATCAAATACATAAAGTCTTCAGTCGACGTCTTCAACACTCCAAGAACCGAACCACGTCAGCACCGACATCATCAGCATGACCACCACGACTATAGACCGCCTTCTCCCTGAAACAGAACATCAGAAAATATCTACTGCTAATAACTATGGGATACAATACAGATTATAGGGACAGGTCATTGATGCTCCGGGGATGGAGGGTGGAGGGATGGAGAAAGTGGAGGAGGAGGGGATGGAGAGATGGATGTAAAGGGGATGGGGAGGAGGGGGGGTTGCGGAGGGGGTGGGGGTGGTGAGGGGGAGAGGCTTGTTATATTGTTCTGCAAATACTGGAAACAATACTTTGACCTCAAAAGACAGACAGACTGTTCACTTGATCCTGAAACAAACGTGGTGTGGTTCCTAAAACAGTTATCAGACCTTCAGCCGTGGTAGGCAATGCTTGATCAACTGTTACCTGCAACAATCAAGGACAGTCATCCGACGGCCTATGTGTCGGAGAGTTACGACTACGCTCATCTGTATTTAATATACGAGATATCTGATATCGCATCTCCTTGTTGAACGACGTCAGATACGTCATCATCCAAGTACTAAACGTCATTATGGAGATCAGATCCTCATATGTATATAAGTCGGGGGTGACACAGGTAGATTAAAACATTGCCGCACCACACAGACGTCTGACTAAGCCGCACAGAATGTTGTCCTGGCGAGATATAAGAAAGTACCTACCCAAGTGGTGACACTATTTTCAAAGCAACGCCGTCGTCTTTGAACGCCGTTACTGAAGACGTCGTCAAAAGGTACATCTCCCCTGAAGAAACACAGAATGTCAATCTGAAGAAAAACAGACAAACACGTTTATTTCAGTATACTCGGCATTTGGTGATGAATAAAGACTTAACCCTCGTTAACCTTGTTCATCTTGACCAAAGGTCAGTATGAAGTTTCTAGGTCGCGCCCTGGCACCGCACGGACAATTTTTTTCGGTCACACACCGGAAGCGGGGACGATGTCCAGCCGTCGCTGCCCTCGGTCAATGCTGACATGACGCTGAAAACAGACAGAGATACAGAAAAGGTCGCAGATACAGATATAGATTCAGACACAGATGTAAATATACGCGAACACAGATTCAGACACGGACGCAGACACAGACACGCATAAGGGTATATATCTCTACCTAAATGGTTGGAATCATGGATCACAAGGAAGTAGAGGCTGCTGGGTGATCACAATGCAAATATCACAGCCACCTACAAGTGATACTGGTGACCTCCTACAAGTGGTACGGATGACCTCCTTCAAGTGATACGGTGACCTCCTTCAAGTGATACGATGACCTTCAAATGGTACGGGTGAGCTTCAAGTGATACGAGTGACCTCCTTCAAGTTATAAGAGTGACTTCCTTCAAGTTATACGGGTAACCTCCTTCAAGTGATACGGGTGACCTCCTTCAAGTGGTAGGGGGGACCTCCTACAAATGATACGGGTGACCTCCTTCACATAATCCGAGTGACCTCCTTCAAGTTTCCCGTGGTGCCTCTATGTAAAATTAGCTTCTGGCCACACACCTGCATGTACTCACCCTGTCATGGCGTCTCCGTACAGATAGCGCCCGTACAGATCAGGAAGCTACTTGCCTCTGTACACATATCCCCCGACGACGGCATGAAAGAGGTTGATGTGATTGTACACGTAGATCGGCAGCGCTTCGTTCTCCGTAACCACAAGTTTACAGAATGTTGTCTTTTCTTCAAACAGAATTGGAATAGCCCCAAACTTTACCGGAAGCACACAAACCACCAACTCCACCCCACCCCACCCCCCCCTCACCCCGAACAAAATATGATCGAGTCTTTACCCTAAACACACAAACCACCCACTCCACCCCACCTCACCCCGAACAAAATATGATCGAGTCTTTACCCTAAACACACAAACCATCTGATCCACCCCACCTCACCCCAAACAAAATATGATCGAGTCTTTACCCGAAGCACACAAACCACCCGCTCCACCTCACCTCACCCTGGACAAAATATGATTGAGTCTTTACCGGGAGCACACAAACCACCCGCTCCACCCCACCTAACCCCGAACAAAATATGATCGAGTCTTTACCCGAAGGACACAGACCACCCACTCCACCCCACCTCAACCTGAACAAAACATGATCGAGTCTTTACCTTAAAAACTGGCAAGCAAAACATACAAAATATTCTCAAGATGTTGTAATGATAATTGTTGATATCTGACTGACAGGTAGGAAATTCAAATTTTGGGCATTGTTTTCAAAATGGAGACTTATTCTTGTATCTGTACCATCGTTATTCACAGTATGTATACCTTTCACTTGTGTGCATGGTCCTCACAATTAGTATCATGAACTACTGTTTAGTTTTCGAGATAGTTGACAAATTGTAATTGAATGTTGATCTGCTCTTAGTTTGTGACATACTGTTATATGCATGTCGGTCTTTACGTACATACTGATATACCATGCCACAGCTTAACATGCATACCCATTCAAACACCGTATACACCATCTTCCCGAGGCAAGCATAGCCTAGGTTCTACCCTTGCCACATCAACGCCACTTTTCTTAGCTCCACCCTGGCGCCACCTCGCGAAGATCACGAGTTGTCCCCCTTGTAATGAAAACTCGATATCCAATCAGATCGCTGTTCTTATCTCGTAGAGCTTCGCAAAGATGGCTAGTCGATCAGATAACGAAAACATTCGTGATTTCATCCCTGACACAAAAAAAACATCACTTTCATACGAAGGTGTACCAGTCGTGGAAGTTGATTTTGTAAAACGTTATCTGATTGGACTATCGAGTGTGCGATAGTCCAATCATATTTAACACAGGAAAGTGGGCTTTATGTGGCAAGAGTGGAAACAAGACACTGATAAAAAGGCTGGTAGACGCGGTTGCCGCGGGAGTCGAACAGTAATTGTGTTATACCCCTAATGTCAGGCAGGGCAACATCAAGTGCCATCTTTAACGTCTTTCGGTATGACGCGGAGGGAATCGAACCACCGACCTTCCGCTCTCCGGGCAGACTCTAGTCAGACCAAGGAGGCAGTCTCGTGAAGTGTTGACGGTGAGAGAGACGAAGGCTACCTACCTATTGTTCCATTGCTGCACCTGGAGCTGTCGAAGCACTCGTTCCCCTCCTTGATGTTCAAGCCGTAGTTCCTGCCGCTGCGGATGACGTCGATCTCTTCATAAGCTCGTGCCCCTGGGTCGCCAAAGAATATTCGCCGCTCACCTGCGAGAAGGAAAAGTGACGTGACATGTTGATTCAGGAAGAGCCGCGACATCACCAAGCGCGGATCCAGCATTTGCTTTTTTTTGTTTGTTTGTTGTTTAACGCCGCATTCAGGATTATTCCACCTTTATGATCGCCGACTTTAAGTAATCGAGTCTGGATCAGACAATCCAGTGATTGACATCATACGCATCGATCTACGCAATTGGAATACGATTACATGCATCAACCAAATCAGAGAGCCCGTTAGTCGCCTCTGGACCAGACAACGAGAGAGGATGTCTACAACATACATACTAGAGCACAGGTGTGCGTCCCTGTACCTCGCTGACACCCCCGGGCAAACTTGGGTAGAGGTCTGCGTCCCTGTACCTCACTGCCACCCTAGGGGAAACTTGGGTAGAGGTCTGCGTCCCTGTACATCACTGACACGCCCGGACAAACTAGAGCACAGGTGTACGTCCCTATACCTCGCTGACACGCCCGGGCAAACTAGAGCACAGGTGTGCGTCACTGTACCTCGCTGACAACCCCGGACAAACTAGGGTACAGGTCTACGTCCCTGTACAACCCTGCCACCCCCGGGCAAACTAGGGCACAGGTCTACGTCCCTGTACATAACTGCCACCCCGGGCAAACTAGGGCACAGGTCTACGTCCCTGTACATCACTGCCACCCCGGGCAAACTAGGGTACAGGTCTGCGTCCCTGTACATCACTGACACCCCGGGCAAAAAAGGGTACAGGTCTACATCCCTGTACATCACTGACACCCCGGGCAAACTAGGGTACAGGTCTACGTCCCTGTACATCACTGACACCCCGGGCAAACTTGGGTACAGGTCTGCGTCCCTGTACATCACTGACACCCCGGGAAACTAGGGTACAGGTCTACGTCCCTGTTCATCACTGACACCACGGGCAAACCAGGGTAGAGGTGTACGTCCCTGTACATCACTGACACCCCGGGCAAACTAGGGTACAGGTCTGCGTCCCTGTACATCACTGACACCCCGGGCAAACTAGAGTACAAGTCTACGTCCCTGTACATCACTGACACCCCCTGGCAAACTAGGGCACAGTTTTACGTCCCTGTACATCCTTGACACCACGGGCAAACTAGATCACAGGTCTACCTCCCTGTACATCACTGACACCCCCGTGCAAACGAGGGCACAGGTCTGCGTCCCTGTACATCACTAACGCTATTGGGCAGTGTGTTGGACTGTAATTGTCACGGTGAATGGGTGAATGGTGTTTCACCAATATTTCACCAATATGAAGGTGGCCTGTTCACACTCCTTGAGTGAGTGAGGTGAGGTGAAATTTGGTTTAAGTCGCGTCCAAGATTATTGCACTTATATAGCGACGTGCATGCACGTGTGTGTGTGTGTGCGGCTGCTTGTACTAGGCCGGACTGATGCCGATTTATAGTGCTAGCCCACTGAGATACCATGCCGCAGTTTAACATGAATATCCCACTCAGACACAGTATACAGACTCCGAGCCGACCAGTCCTTGTTTTACCTTCTTACTGCCGAGCGCCAGACAGGGTAACAACAATTACAATCTTTTAACGTCTTTTGGTATGACGCGGCCGGGGATCGAACCCCGGACCTTCCGCTCTCCGGGCGGACGCTCTACCACTAGACCACGGAGGCGGTCCTTGAGTGAGTGAGTGAGTAAGTGAGTGAGTGAGTGGGTGGGTGAGTTGGGTTTAACGTCTCTTTTAACATTATTCCAGTAATAATGGACAGCGTGTCTTATTGTGGGAGGAAAGCCCGAAGTGATGCAGTGATGCAGGACGTTTCCCACTTCGGTGGTTGTTAAACCGAGAAACAATCGGCGCGAACCATGATTCGAATCCACAATCATAGGTTTCTGGCGGGCCCAAGGGATGCAACTCTGCACAGCGAATCGCGGCGCCTTAGGCAGATGAGACCCCCGTTCCTCCCTGTAAAGCAAGCTTGACCACACCTCCTAACGGGATCATCAGGATCCGGTAATACGTGGACAGGGTTCTGTTCTTGGTCTGGTGCTGGAATATGCTATCTACAGTTTCATTTCTGTAAATGTGAAGTAACCCTTATGTACGTTCTGTTCTGCAGATGTTGATATAATTATATAACTATTTAAGGAAAACGTCTTTACACACTACCCAGAACATGGTGAAGCAATCAAATAGACACCTCCACTTAACCAACGACCTTCACAGTGACCTCAACCGTACCCGTGAGTTCAAGGCCATACATCGGGATAACACATGACAATGACCATAAAGGTGACCTTGACCTTTTATGTGCAAGACCGATAGGTTTTAAAGTATGGCCTCAGGAAATGTTTTGCAAAAATAATAGAATTTATCGTTCTCTAAAATCGTAACAACTTTAAAGGTAAGTTTTGGAAACAGGTGACCTTGACATTGACCTCCTAAAAGCTGTAAACAATATCCATGCTAGAATATCCTGAAATGTCATCACGCTCGTACTGCAGTCTAATTGATGTTCAATAAGTAGAATTTCCCGCTTAAGGAAAACAGACCAGACGGGTATCTCTGATCACGACGGCTTTGATACATGGCTATAGCTCTGGCAGCCATTCTTCAATGACCCGACAGCAATAAACACCTTCCTGGTCCTCGCCACCTGTGGTTCTCACATCGGAGACTTCACACCGTGTGATGGAGAGTCGCGGAGAACACTTGTGATCGCGGAAACAGAGACATATGGCATGGCTCTGGTGTATTGTAACTGGACCGGACACTATGGGCATCTACTAAATAACAGAACCGGTTAATAAGTTGTTTGTTTGCTTGTTTGTAGTGTAACGCCGAGTTCAGCAATATTCCCGCTATATGACGGCGGTCTGTAAATAATCCAGAGATTGATATCATGAGCATCTATCCACGCAATTGGGATGCGATGACATGCACCAACCAAGTCAGCGAGCGATGTTCATGATGCTAATCACTGGATTGTCAGACCCACAATCAAGGCCAGAGGCCCGAGGAATTACAATCCCCAAAGTCCACTGTTCTGGAAAATAAGTCTTTTCAAGCTTAACGTTAAAAATCATTTTAAGGTAGGGGAGGAGAATTTCTGACGAATATTTAAAAATTTTTTTGCTCGTTCTCTGCAGAAGTTGAAAACAGACCCCTAAAATGGTTAAACAAATCATCAATTGGAATATTGTTTTGTGTATAACGATTAGTATTTCGCCTTTTAAGAGTGGCCAAAAATTGTTTAGAATCGCGTATGCAATGTTCATGTTTTTCCTGCTTCTCTTTGAAAACATTCCTTTTCTTTTCTCTGCATACACTATTATATTTATTTCTAATATAATTATACTCATGTAATGAGTTATTATCCTTTTTTTCTCCTAAAATTGTTTAAATATTTACATCTTTCTTTTTTGAATAGCTCACATTCACGGTGAAACCACTGTT